CATATTTAAAATAAATAATAATCTATTTATTCGTTTCAGCTAAAGCCACCATACATTTGTGTTGCAGAACTTACAGGAAAGTGTAAGTTTCAGGTTCATTTATGTAGAATATATAAAAATAAACCACTTCCTCAGAGTTATTTCACACCAGTTCACTCAAAGTGTGAAAAAACAGCAGGAGCAGTTTGAGGTTTTGTTCTTCTTTATAAAATATGGTGTCATATTTAAAACTGTGAAAGGAAGCTCAGCTGTTGAGAAAACTGATGGGTGGCTGACTGTGAAACGTTTTTATCTCTGTGCTGCAGGAGAGATGATTATAAAACAGGAAGATGAAAACATACTCCATATTTCCTCCTTAATGAAGGTTAATGGGTTTTATGTTTTTACCTCGTTTGTGAGCTGATTTATGTCAAAGAGGGATGAATGTATTTACAACAATGTATAAAACAATATAAAGTCTTGTCAGCATGGAGATGTTGTCATTCACAGTTCTTGAATTTAAAGGATTTAAAGTAAAATGTTCCAAACATTTGCCACAGACACTCGGGGCTTTTGTTATGCCTCTGTTGGTGATAGCTGTGTGTGTTTTCGGGGTGTCCGTCCCATTGTTATGAAAGCAATATCTCAAGAACACCTTAAGGGAATTTTCTTCAAATTTGGCACAAACATCCACACATAAACTGATTGGAATTTTGTGGTTGAAGGTCAAAGGTCACTGTGACCTCACAAAACATGTTTTTGGCCATGACTCAGGAATGCATACCGTGTTTCTGACCAAACTTGACACAAATGTCTAACAGGATAAAATAATGAAGGTCAAATGATACTAATGACATGCAGATATGATCATGCATCCCTGTATAGAGTCTGTGTGTGTGAAGCATCCATGTTTTCACTGACATGGTCATAAACTGTCAGAGACACTTGGCAGGTTCACGCAGGCGTACATCTGTGAGGAGGTAATTCTACTTTTTTGCATCAGTCGATAACCATCAGGTGAATAGAAGCTCTCAGTTCGCTACTTTAATTACTTTAAGGTGTTTTGGTGGCGTCTCGGCACACTGAACTGCCAACTCTGTCAGACACACCGTGCACCCCCTCCCCACACCACAGACTGTGGGTTGTAGCTGCTGCAGCAGTGGACCAATCACACAGCTGCAAGAAAACCATACAGCTTGTCTTGACTGCAGATATCATTTCACTGGGAGATGTTTCAGTGCTACTTTGTACTCAGTTATTTTGATCCCAGTCCTGCTGGAAGGTTCGTAAAGTGGTTGTTTATCTGCATCTCTGTTTGTCTCTCTGTCCTCTGTGTTTCTTTTTATTTGCCCTGTTCTTGCAGAGCACACAGCGAACACGTCGCCCAAATCGTCCTCTCTCAAATGTGAGTTTGGTGATGATGAGGCCGGTGAGATCACCATCGCAGTGCCTCAGCCCACAGTGTGCGTTAATGGAAGCCATTCTTACAACGTCCAGCCCCTGGACCCAGGCTCAGGAAAACCTAAGGATTCTTTAGGCCTGGGACTGTTGCAGAAGTCTCTTCCTCTCTCCATGTCCCTGCAGAACCTCAGACCCTCCACAGACCTCCCCAAAGGCCCCGTCGGAGACGGGCGCCGCTGGTCCTTTGACAGGCCCGACGAGGAGGAGAAGGCAGCCATAGCGGCGGCCCTGGAGCTAAGTGGCCCCATGCTGGGTGACGAGGAGGAGCCGCTGGGACATGCTGCTCCGCCCAAAGCCACCTCCTCGTCCTCCACCTCCACAGTGGAGTCGGAGAGCCAGGGGAAAAAGCATAGGAAGGACTTTTTCTCCCACGGGAGGAGTGAGTCTGCGGGGAAAGGGCAGAGTCAGTCCAAGGATGAGTCTGAACAGGCCCCCGCCGCCACCGAGGAGAAACACAGGGGATGGTTAGGATCAAAGGACTCGCACAGCAAACCCAGGTGAGACACACACACTGTGAACACACACACTTAAAACACAGAGAGGATGAATCACTGACAGGGTCACGACTCACGACATCAGACAGGTGATTAATTATCATTTCAGTACTAATGAGCTGAATCAGGAGGGTTAAAGGAAAAAAAAACTATCTGAGTAGCAGAGTTCGTTAAGTACAGGGACCAGTTGCACAAAACACCTTAAGTTTAGCATGACACTTAAGGTTTTCTCCTTAGCTGAGGGACTTAGACAGTTGCACAGAACCCCTTAAGAAGTTTCCTTTGTTAAGAAAACCTTATTTACTGTGTTGAGAGAGATTTTACAGCGGTATATGTTTCCATGGAGATTGTTTGTTTGCTTGGACTCACACTGTGACGCCTGTTAACATCTCATAAAGTTGTCTTATAGTTAGACAGTGAAAAAATGGCAGAAGAAACTAAGACAAGACTCTGACTGTATTGGTCAGAGGAGGAAAAGAATAAACCTCTGGAGGAATATGATCATAGACAGAACAAACTACAAAATAAATCTGATCCCAAATACCAGAAAACAGAAAACAGCTGTAGGACGAAGCAACGAAAATGAATTCAGTTGATCCGTTGTCTTCTCCGGGTGTGTTAAACTTGGTCATGTTGCAGTTAAGATAAAGTCAGAGGTACCTTAAGGTTATTTTCTTTTACCTTGCTTTGGTTGCTAAGGTCTTTTTGCAACGATCTAGGGATTCCTGAAGTATAAGATCAAGACAAGGAGAAAACCATAAATACTTAACTGAACATTTTAAGGAAACCTTAAGGAGAAGACTTAAAGGTGTTTTGTGCAACCAGTTTTTTGGGGGAAACCTTAACTAGGACTTTAAGGAAAATCTTAACGTAAGGTGTTTTGTGCAGCCGGCCCCAGACTCTTCACTCTGAGTCAGATATTTCCAGAGCAGAGGAGCAGTTTGTGACGACCGTTATCAGAGTGGTTGTTTACTTTTCACTTCCTGTGGAGCAACATGGCAGCTGGAAGTTGCCTCCAGCTCTGAACACTTTCCTCCTCAGCTCTTGGTCTCAGTCTGGTTACAGCAGGTACCTGCAATGCAGATGGAGGAGAGCAGCTCCATCAGGCTGCAGCTCCGTCAGGTTGCTCCGTCAGGCCGAGGCCTCGTGCATGCTTGACTGAAACATTTGTTCTCTTACAGGTTGTGTGTGAGTCACCTGCTGTACTGTAACTGTCTCTGTTGTGATGAGTGTGTTGCTCCTGCAGTGTAAAATATATCTTAAATTCAGGCCTTAAAGAACTTTAAACAGCTTCTTTACTTTTTATTTTTATCAATCTACTCGACTGAGACCAACAAACAAACCATAGTATCGCAGTGTTTCTCCACACTGAGCGTAAACAGAGTATTGGGCTGATAAGCGGCTGCTGATTGAGGCGAGCTCAGCTTTTCTGGACCATAGTACACTCAATACGTTTCTGCCAGCTCTGTAACTATACGTTTCCACAGCCTACACACCCACATGCTGTTATATCCTTGGGGAAAAGTGCCAAGTTGGCACCAGGAGCACTCAGTAATCATTACAACCAGCTGCATCAACTTTTCTGACATCGTGGCCCAGTGAACACACAGGAGGCTCAGAGACGGATGTTTGGGACGTGGACCAGTGCCAGGTTTTGTTTTTCTTAGTATGATCGATTTCAACAATGAAAGTACAATTTTTGATTCAAAGTGTTAGCATCACAGTTACTGTTAAAGCTGCAGTTGGTAAGATTTTTAAATTCACTGAAACTGTCACAGTATTCACACAGTCGTACATGAGACAGATAATCTGTAAAAAAAATTAAAAAAATCATACTCCTCTGACGACTCCATCACCTTGTGGTGATAGCCTCACTGCACATGAACAAAAACAACCAATCAGAGCTGAGAAGGGTCGATCATGGTCGATTTTCTGTTTCTCACCTCAGATGTTTTCAGAAACATATTTTAGTCACTGTTCAGCTGTTAAATGAGAACGTTTTCTCCGGCCGCCATGTTGGGTACAATTAAACAGGAGTAATAAGCTCCGCCCACCAGCTGCACAAACTTTCTTACTTCAACAGTCACTAAAAAAATGTGTCTGAAAACAGGAGAAAAATGCTCAGTGCAGTAAGAGGTGGGGCGGGAATCACCAGAGGATCCATGATCCGATATTATCACGATAGGTTGTAAATACTGTTTCCAGAGGAAAACTGTAGTGTAGTGTGAAGATAACAAAAGAAAATCCAGGTTAAAAATAAGTGTTGAATTTTATGTTGGATCTGTGGACGGCAGCAGCACACGCCCAGCTGGACACCGCCATCGTCAGGTGACCGAGATTCAATGTCAGCATGTCTAATGCCAACGTCAACTGATGTAGAATAACGACGACAGATGACGTTTTTATTTTGTTGTTTTTAAGTTGTGGTTTTAAGTATCCAAAATCCAAACGTCTCATGCCAACGTCATCTAGAATAACGACATTTGGTTGTAAGGTATGAAGAACAAACTTAGACGTCATAATGTTCACGTCCACTCAACGAGAAATTCAAATGTCGTTAGATATTTAAAATATCGTCAGCTAGCCCAATTTTCAGTCCAACCAAAATTTAACGCCTGTCAGACGTTAGAGTTCAATGTCTTTCTGACGTCATATTGACGTCTGGTGCCAGCTGGGGCATTAGTCTCGGCTCAGATGTTTACAGCCTGGTTCAAAAATACAGTTTTGGTCTCTGTAGCTAATTTACCCGTTTGTGACGACTGTAAGAGGAGCGACTCACCAGTTTACATTTTATTAAGGCTCAGAGTTGCACATGAATAAGGCCATGGCTGCTTTGAGTGACGGGCTGTCTGCTGATAGTGTCTTTAATGTCAGTCAGATCCACCCCTCGCTCCTCCACAGCTCCACCCTCTCATCCAAATATGGTCATTTCTGGCTCCAAAAATAAGATGGCGACAGCCTAAATGTCAAACTCAAGGCTTCAAAAGGATTTTCTACAAATGTATAATATAATATAATATAATATAATAAATATTTATTATTATTTGAAGAAAGTCTGGTTACAGCTTGTTGTGCTGCCCCCAAGAGGCCAAAAAATTACTGCAGGTCTAAAGGTGTTTTTCCAGCCAATGAAGCACCATTAAAGAAAACCACTGCTACAAATAACGGAATTAAAATGAATGAACTGAATGAATAAGATGTGATTGAGACAGAAACCTGCAGCAGGCCTGGAGCTGAGCTGTGTGAACCTTCCTCACTAACCAAGAGGACTGTGTGCCCTTCTTTCACAGCCTGGTGGTGTCACCTAAACTAGAGCCCAGCACAGACCCCCACCCACCACCCCTCTCACCCAGTCACCATCCCCCGGGTCCCTCTGAGGTTTCCCCACTGCATCACACTAACCCCTTCACCCCCTCACAGAGCACACCACCCCCCATATCTCCCTGCAACCCTTTCTTCTCTCTGCTCCAGCACAACCCTTTCTATGACGACATGCTAACCCCTCAGCCCCTAAAACCTCCGCTGCCTCCTCTGCCCTATCTCTCCAGCGCCCGGCCCCCCATAGCTCATCTCTTTCCTCAGGCGAGTAACCCTAACCCCACCCTGACTCACATCCGCCCAACCACAGAGGACTCCATCAGCGGTGCAGAGAGCAGAGCGGAGAAACGACCTCTTCCTCCGGCTCCCACGGAACAGGAGGAACCTCTAAGCAGGAAGTTGTCCAACCCTTTTACGTCTGGCGGGGAGCTGGACCCAGACTCAGAGTGGGACGAATCCTTTGAAGCGTTTGCAGCTGGCAGGCTGCAGTCTCCTGAGGATCTGGCCACAGCCTGCAGAACACAGCACAACACACCCAGAGACCGTCCACTAGAACACTGCGACGATAAAGCAGCATCACTACTCACAGCAGATCACAACACAAATGTGAACGACGCACGACTTTGCACAGGATTTGTGTTCGAAGCACAAAAAGCCATCAGCCAGGCGACTCACACACATCATGCTGACACATTTGCACAATTCCTGGAGACGATCCCGGAGCACACGAGCTTTGAAAGTGACAACACAACTTTAAACACTAACTCACCAAAACTGGATGCTTGCACTAAAACTAATGAAGCTAACAGTCCGACTAACACAGACGATTTACCCGACACTAATATGCATCACGCCCCCGGTCACGCCTCGTCGCTGCAGCTCAACAGCAGCTCCCCTGATGCTGGATCTTCAGGTCTCGGCAGTTCAGCAGAAGAGGATTTCCTTTCCTGTCTCTCATCTTACTCCGATAAATTCTCTGCATCCTCCTCTGAGGAAGCCGAGGCACAGAACTTTGACAGAAACATCCTCGGCTTTGAGAACTCCTCTGACTCATCTGTTTCAAAACAAATAAAGGCCTCAGAGTCTGAAGACGACATCACTGACAGCAATGATGTGTCTGTAGTGGAAGCAGCCCAGCACACTGTTGTTCAGCACAGGGACAGTGATGGAGATGGAGAGGTAGATTTAAACGGTTCAGAGGGGTCGTTGGCGCGGCAGTCCCCGGTGCTCACACACCAGCAGCCTGTGGTCACTGCAGCAGAGACAGGAAGTGAAGACGCAGTCACTAACTCGACAAACTTTTCCAACACTGATTTATCACCAAAACTACAGCCACACTCAGACGTCTCTTCACAGCCCGACAACACAGAGGATGGAGACAATTTTTCCAAAGTGTTAAATGATTCCTCTGTAAGTAACACCACAGACGTGATGACCTCTACGACTCCAGATGATGAACTCTGCTCCACACACCCGTCATTACACATCATAACCTCCTCCCCTGACATGAGGCAGAGCTCGTCAGACTCACCCATGGAGAGCACAAGTTTAGGAGGGCAGGATGCGAGCCAGCGTTCTCAGATACCTTTTGACCTTTTTGGTGATTTCCTCAACACCACTCACATCACAAACAGTCCCAGCCAAGACTTTGACGACACACTGTCACACAGTCGTGTGTCCGATCAGAGCAGCTTTTTCCAAAGCCTTTACGTCAGCGCCGACTCGCAGGGTTACCAAACCTGTGAGTCTCACCCGTCCTCCAAATGCTCCATCAGCTTGGAGCCAAACGAGACGCTGCATTCTGCGACCTCGACGCTGTGCGGTGAGCTGAGTGAGAGTCAGACGACTGAAGAAGATTCAACCAATGCACGCAAGCCATGTAATGGAGAAATCAACCAAACCGACCAATCTGAAGGATCCGTCTGTGCAGCCGAGGACAAGACGGCAACTCTTGAGCCGAGTGTCATGAAGGGGGATCACAGTTTACTCCCTGCAGCATCGACCGACTCTGACATGAGCTGTAATCCAAGGAACCTCACAGAAGGTGTGGAAAGTCAGCATGTCGTCCTCAGTGACGTGTTCTCAAATTGCCCTCAAGCGCAAAGTGCCACGCTTCACCGCTCCCAGTCTGAAGGCACACTGACACTCGCTTTTGACGAACTCCTCCTGCCCTCCTTTGGGAGTGATCCTGGCTCGATACAGGAGTCCTCCTCAGCTCCGCCCGGCCCTGACCTCCCCTCTCTGACCTCCTTTGCTCCCTCCCTAACCCCTCTAAGTAGCAGCTCCCCTGTAGCGCTCTCTTCTCTCCCTTCTTTTGCTGGCGCTACGTCGACATCACCACCCAGCGCGGCACAAGCTGCGGCGCCAGAGCCAACGCTTCAGGAGACGCAGCAGCAGCAGGCAGCCAATCAGCAGAACAGGTGAGGTTCACATGCTCAGTGCGCGGTGACAAGGTGGAGAGGAAGCACTTTTTCCCACTTCCAGAAATCTCTATCCTGTCGTTTCTTCAGTCTCCCTCCGCCTGCTTTTCTTCTGTGCTGCCGACTCTCGAGGGGTTTCTCCTCTGTGGTGTGACCTTCTCTTTTTTATCACTTTGTTCTCACACACACACACACACACACACACACACACTGGTGTTAACAGGACTCCTCTGCAGGTGTCTTGTGTGTCCTGGCTCTGTGGTGACGGGAGGGGAAACAGAGCCTCAGGCCAATTAGCAGTTATTATTTTGCCCTGATTCCTACCACACACATCCCCTCCTTTCCAACACACACACACACACACACACACACACTAACCCCCTCCCTCCCCTCAGGGCCAGCTCGTGTTCTCACACCGCCACACTCATTTGCCAAAACCTCAACCAGAACCAGGCTTTTCCACGAGGCAGAGAAGGTGTTGTTGTGTCACTGATAGCGTTTCCTTTTCACCTCAGGGTAATAACACATTTAACACAATTCTACATGTTTGATTGCACCGATGCATGCAATTAAGTCTTTCAGTTTGGAGCTCATTTAATTTCAATTTTCACCAGTGCTTCCTTTAATGAGGACTTTTCACATGTCTAACCTCCTCTTACTCCTGTTCACTGACGTGAAGTGTTTGTGGGATGTTAAAGGGTCGATCTGAAGCGTCTGTGTGTGGCGTCGTCCTGGAGGTCCAGAGGACGATCTGTTGTGCTCAGATAATGGCTGAAACCTTTATTACCTGAGCTAAAGAGCGAGATATGTGACAAAGATTGTGGTTGTATGAGTGGAAGTCACTGCACTGAGTGGGTAGGTGTTCTGATAACAGATTTCCTTGTAAATGTAGGTCACTGACACAGGAAACTGCCCTTCCTGTGTTGTTGTTGACTTGAAAAGGTTGTCTAAGTTGACCTGAACAAAGAGCTGGTTTCTGGTTGTTTGTTGGTGCACCGACCAGCAGGCAAATTGACTTAATTTAGTACCTGAACAACGAGGCAGCGGCATATTTCAGCCGCTGTAAAATTCTGTGTTGTGAAAAAAACACAGATGTTGTGATACCTGTATTTCAAAGAGCTTAGGACCTCCAGAACGGCAGCCAGACGTCTTTATATCAGGGTGTTCGGTGTAAAGAGGCCACAGGGGTCGTACGCTGGTGTGAAGTGTGATACCTGACTGTGTGTGTGCGTGCTGCTTATTGTCGTCCCCTCCAGCCCCCACCCAGTGAAGCCCCTGACCACTGCCATACAGGCTGAGGAGAAGCGGACGGAGGGCCGGTCAGTGCTGGCCACCGGCCTGGAGAAGCTCAAGTCCACCATCCACCCGGGGAGGAGCAGCCAGCTCAGCGAGCAGGAGACAGAAAGGAAGAAGGTACGGTCAGCTTATAGTAATAATACTGTAGAAATACTGCAGAGCTGCCCTGCAGAGGGAAAGACAGGTTTCTCTCCCCTGAATAATTAAGCCCTTTTTACACAGAGGTGGCGCCATAGAGCTGCTACAAAGCCCCTTCTTTATGCTGCCTTTGAATTTTTACACAGAACCAAATGACGGAGGCATCATGTCGCTCCAGTGTGTGATTTTAGACAGCATGCCGGCATCACACTATCAAAAGAGGCGTGATGGGCGTGATGTATAAAGGCCCAGACACACCAAAATGGCGTCAGAACTATCAAAGGCCCCCTGCTGCATCGGATCACGCCGCTGTGTCTCAGCCAAAAAGTTGCACATGAACACATCACAAAGACTCCAGCCAACAGCCAATCAGCGCATAACGCTCTGCTCCTGCTGAGAGGAAATGACTCTCCACAGCAGCAGACGGCGGTTGTCTGTATTCGTCATTCAAAAAGGGAAACAAGAAGAGCGTCTTGATGCTAGTTAGCCAGTTAGCACATGAACAACACAATCAGAGCATATTTACCGTGCGCCAGTGAACAAGAACACAAACCATCAGGAAACGTTTCTGCTGAAGAGAAAAATAATCTGACCCCATGGAACAAGTTGGTTTTGGTCTCATCCCCTCTGGACTTTGGCTCCTCCTTTCATTCACCGACGGGCTCCACCATTGCCGACGCCTATTCAACATGCTGAATTAACCAAAAAAAAAAAAATGCAGACAGGGCTGACGAGGGTCAACAGTGCAGGACACACCACACCAACTAGGGCGACAGACGCTTACTGACGACCCAACATTGCCAATCAGCTTGGTGTGTCGTGGCTTTAACACAACAGCGTCAGCCTCTAGTGTGACATATAACACACGTGTCAGCAGCTCTTTATAAACAATAACAATGACATCACACGTCAATAACAATCATTTAGCGTCCCTGTTATATGGCGGCTGATCTCGTCCTCTGCTCGGAGGGTAAGGAGCTCCTGGGCCGCATTGTTTATCTGTTTTTGGACATTCACAGCCACTGTTCTTCTTCTTTGAGTTAGCTGCTAACTGCTATCAGCTACTTTCTAAATCTGCCATGGTGTGTCGCACATATAACACGTCATCAAAACATAAAACCCCTCCAGCCCACGGTCCTTCCTGATGGCTGTCCACTTTTATACAGACGTCGATTCGCCTCTGCTGCCAGCTTAAAGACGAGACAACTCTGTCCCCTCATTCCACGATCGTACCAAAATGGCGATGGGGTATAACAGCGTGATATTTCAGCCTTCAACAGGCGGCGTAAAAGGGGGCTAGAGTGACAGTAAAGATGCAAGATGCATGAACAGACCATCCTAATTTAATCAACAGGAAATCTAGTGAGAAGACACCACTCTGTTTTTATCTTTGTTACACTTCTGCTCTCCTTCCTGTCTCTCTGTTTGTCTCTCTGTTTGTCAGTCTGCGACAGAGGGAGCGGGCTCGTACTACCACCTGAACCACAGTGAACTGGTCACCCTGCTGGTGCAGCGGGAGGCGGAGCTGGAGAGGCAGAAGGCGGAGTTTGAGCGACAGAGAGTGTTGCTGGCGAAGCGGGAGGTGGAGCTGAAGAAGCTGAAGCCGCAGGTCAAAGATCTGGAGGACTACATTGACACGCTGCTGGTGCGCATCATGGAGCAGAAGCCCACCCTCCTGCAAGTGCGCTCCAAGTTAAAGTGACAACCGCGCGGAGGGAGAAGGGTTTGCAGCCGTGTTCACTCTGTCCTCCACAACAGCTCTTTAGTCTTTTCACTGCTATGCTGTCCTTTTTGATACAAATCTGTAGGCACTGAGAGATGTGGAGGCGGCGTTCTCCAGCCGGCATGCTTTACTGTGCTGAAACACGTCCTTGGAGAAGGATTCGGTTCGGGCGGTTCTGAATGTAGCGGGTCCTCAGGTTGTTTTCAGGTTCACTCAGCCAGATGGGTTTGAGCTCACAGAGGAGAGAGCCCAGTAAGTTCAAAACCCATGCTTCCATTTTGGGATCCTGATTGTAGAAACAATGATTCCTCCTCTTCACCTCACCTCACGTGTATCACCTTATCACACAGAGAGAAATGGTAGAGTGTCAGTCCACAACACTGCACGTCGTATTGCAGCTCGCTCCTCCTCACACAGCGTTTCAAAGAATATTCTGTCAGTGTTGCAGCTCTGTGGGGAAACAGGAGCGAACAACCTGAAGGGACACTCTGGTGGGTTTGCATGTTTCAGACCATTAACTGCAAATTACATAGACTTCAGATCAACGCTGCACATTTCTGTCACATGTCAACAGGTTTAGATTGATTTTATACCTTCGAGGCAGCCGCTGGTTTCACCTCATTTCAGAGAAGCAGGAAACTCATCGTGCAGCGACTGAAACCTGCTCGAGACAAAAATATGTCACCGTGAACATTTTGACACTTTTGTGTTTATTTCAGTTTCATGAGGCAGCAGAGAGCTTTTTTCAATCAGTGTAAAAATGCTCTGATATCTAAGACGTGAAGTTCAGATACATGAAAGCACTCTTGAGCTTTACTGGAGGTCTGCAACCATTGTGATATTGATTTTTAGTTTATCTTGATCAATGGCTCAATCATCTCATCTACAGAATATCATGGTGAGAGGTGACATCATCAGATCGCCTGTTTTTGTCAGAACAGTTTAAAATCCAAAGTTATTTAGTTTATTATAATGTAAGACAAAGGAGACAGAAATATCAGACGTTTGTGTTTTTGCTTGATAATTGCTTTAAACAATGAACAGATTATCAGAACAGTTCCAGTCAGATGATAAATCTATAAAGTGACTAATTGTTGCAGCTGTTCTGTTTTGTCAGAAAATCAATAGATAATTATAAATCTGGTTTTATGTGGCAGCAGTTTGGATGTCGCAGCGTCCAAGATATGCCAAAAAAGGAGTTCAATTATATATAAATACACATGACAAAACGTTCACCGCAGTGGATCTCGAGCAAGTTTCAAACTTCTGCTGTTTTTCAGTCTGAATGTTTTTGTGTCTCTGTGACTCATGATAACATTTGTTTAACTTGGTTCAGTATTAACAGAGAGCGCTGCAGGCAGCAGCAGAGAAACAGGCTGCAGCGTAACCTCTCGGGGTGTGTGTGCACACCTTCAGTGTCCGTCCACTAACAGTGTTTTTGTCACTGACAGGCTCAGACTGTTATTCTAAGTGTGTGACAACATGATGAAAGGATCCCTACAGAGATAGAGCTTTGTGTTAAAGAGTCAGATCCTTTTTGTTTAACCAGAAACAGCCCTGAAATCACCGTCACCAAACCCACCAGACTGCATTTAAATGAACAGTCATGTTAGTGTGTATAGAGGCAGCATGTTGTCACATCTAACTGGTGAATTAAGGGTTAATTTAAACCAAACCAGAGCTGGTGATTGTTGGAACAGTGGAAAGACGGACCAAGATGGCTTTTGTGAGTTTTATTTTGTTTCTGTCGACTTTAAATGAAGTGTGTTTAATGATGATAAAATGACTGTTTATTTAAATGCAGTCTGGTGGGTTTGGTGACGGTGATTTCAGGGCTGTTCCTGGTTAAACAAAAAGGATCTGACTCTTTAACACAAAGCTGTCTCTGTAGGGATCCTTTCATAATGCTGTCACACACTTAGAATAACAATCTGAGCCTGTCAGTGACAAAAACAAACACTGTTAGTGGACGCACACTGACGGTGTGAACACGACCTGAGTGGTTACATTGCAGTGTGTTTTGCCGCTGCTGCCAGCTGCAGCGCTCTCATTAAATCCTAGACCAGATTCAAAAATCGTTGTCCCTATTAGTCACTCAGACGCAAAAACATGGCAAAATAGGGTCCAGGTTGAAAAATTACAGTACAGTTTTTTTTTTAACTTTCCAAGAGTTTGCCAAAACTTGGACAGCACTTTCCTTAAAAATCGGCTGTAAAATAAATACAACTATTTAAATGTGTATGCTCCTCCCATAGGCCAAAATAAAACTATAGTCCTTCCTGAGTGCTTAAAAATTGTTTTATATATTTCCCCCTTTGTGCACCACCCCTTCATAAATAATGATCAGTCCCTTAGAGGAGAAGGTTGACAGCAGTGAGGGAGGTATGGCTGCTGAGAAAGAAGGAAATAAATCAACAATCTTCAGGTGTGTTTTAGAAAATAGGAATTTTATTTGAAAGTTTACAGAATATTTGATTCGTGAGGTCGATTCATGCAGAACCACCGCTGTGTTTCCAGAACACTGATGTTCTCCTGTCTGCGTGCAGCTTCATGTTGTTGTGGACTGACACTCTACAGATGTTCCCTGATAAATACCGAGTGCTCTGACTAGTTACAGGAACTACAAAGCGACGGAGCGCTGTGAGACTTGTGCACCTCACTGGGAACTGATTGTAGCTTCCGAATGTTCAAAGTGTTCTTAGCCAGCAAGTGAATGGTTTCTTTTCATACGCACGATGAGTGCTGTTTATCTTTTGCTTGCTCCTTCAGTTTTCTTCTTTCTGTTTATGGGCATGTCTTGAAATTACCCATGATGCTCAGCCACATAAGCTAACTGATTCTTGTATGGGTCACGGTGTTATCAGGTGAAGACAGTATCACTCAGTATCAAGATCAGCCATCACAGCTCCTCTGATCTCATGCTTCTGCCTTCCTTCACGTGTGTTATCAACACACTGGTGAAAAAATGCCTGCGAACGTGCCGGTTCTTGACTCCTCCTACCCCCCCCCCCCCCCCCCCCCCCCCCCCCCCCCCCCCCCCCCCCCCCCCCCCCCCCCCCCGCCCCTCAGTGTCTGCGTGTCACATCTGCTTCTGCTCCAGCACGCATATCGCTAACGCTTTCAGGTGTTACAAAGGGATATATACCGCATTACAGCATATATTGAAATGCCAAATGCTGCCTTATTTTTGTTTTGTTTGGATGTCAAGAAACTGGAACAGTGATACTCAACGTACGGCTCGTGGGCCAAATTTGGCCCCTGATACGGTGCCAGGAGGCCTCCCTGAAATGTTCTTTAATTCACAGGGTAAGGTGTCTCACACTGGGATTTTTTTTGTACTTTTAATATACAGGAAGCAGCTTTCACATCGCTGTGCGGTAACTGTCCTGACAGCCTCCTACCCACAGGAATGTTCCCCAAAAAAAGCAAAGCGTTTTTAGCAGCTGCAGCTACAGTCCAGGGCTGTGACGTGCAAGCTAGTGCAGCGTCATGTTAATAACTGCATACTGTAGCAAGACGACGGCAATCATTGAAATGACCAAAGATTTTTACATATTTGGAGAATTTACAATCATCTGAAGGTTGGACGCCAACATTATCAGCTCCTCCATCTTGTAGTCTTTCCGTCTCTAGGATGCCCCTCCCCTTTTTGATCGTCCAAAGCCAGAAGTTCAACCAGGTGAACTCTGCAGCACAGCTAAATCTGTGTGTTCAGCGAGATAATCGTCACAAATGAACCACTTTAATGATTTTACAGCCCTAAATACAATCACCAGAAATAAAAAGCTAAAGTTAGGCTATAAACAAACTACACCATAGCCACATGACTCAACGTCGCCACAACAACGAGGCTGTAAAGCTGCGTTCGGCAGTCGTAGACTTCTTTAGCCACCTGTTAGCGTCCACTTTTTTTAAGACGCATAAAAGCTTCTAATATTTACTGATGTAATTTATGTCGTAGATAAAGTGAACGTCTCTTCAGCTTGTGTGAACCACAGACCTTATTTCAGACATCCAACAAAAAAAGCTTCAAGACGAAGAAACAGGAAGTGCTAACATGCTAACTCATTCCGGGGGCACTCTGTGCATACGTTGTCTTGGCGCTGTTATTACCTCCCATGGCGGCTTAAAGGTGACACAACTCTGTCCCCCAATTCCACGATCGTACCTTATATATTCAACAGTGAGGCGACATAATGGTGCAACATTCCTGCCTTGAACACGAAGTGTAAAAGGAGCTATTGAGTTTTGTAGGTCTGTGTGCGTTCACGTTGGCGGCGACTGCTTCATACCCCGACTGCCATGTTTTAAACCACTTCCTCTTATTGAAACGACGGGAGGCTGCCAGTTGCTGCTAGGTGGTGCGAAAGTAGCTGAAGGCACCAGAGTTCATTAAGAAGCATCAAAATAGATTGTTTATCAAACATAGTGCCAGAGGAGAATCCCCTGGATCCCCTGACGAACGTCCGGGCTGAGCCCAAAATGTCCTTAAATCCCAGAAACGTCCCTGCGTTCATGTGCGGGGCCTCTGACTGGCCCCTGACCTCCTCACATTTTGGCCCCGGGCAGTACGAGTTGAGTATCTCTGATCTAACACTTCATTTTCCTCGTCGGGGCTCGGGGCAGGTTTGGAAGAAGAAAGCCATCTGTTCACTTTTTACCTTGTGTTGATGCTTTATGTTCGATCACTGCACAAAATAAACTGTATGCATAGAAAACGAGCAGTAACAGTGACTTCCTGTGAAATGCCAAAAAAAAAACCAAGCCTTGAAATGTAATCTGTGGAGCAGATGGAAACACCTTACAGTATTCTGATGCCACTGTTAACAGCATTTGTGGATGTTCTTGCACTACTTATCCGTCAGAGCATAACGAACATACTGTACCTGTCTGTCCATGTCGGGATAGTTAGATCTACTTCACTCCGTACTGCACTTTCTAACCGCTCTGTGATTTAAGCACTTGGCTGACTTCAACACCACAACGACGATTTGAGCTTGAAGCATACAAAAACACCCGAAACCGTCTTTGTCATCTGAGTTCTGCTGTGCGATCGCAGTATCAAGTGCATAGATGACGTAGAGACATATTCAGTGTGACTCGGCACTTATGAAGAATTAGCGTCCTCTTCCATGTCTTCCATTTTTATTTAAGTTTCAACTGATTGTATTTTGTCCTCGAGTGTGTAGCTGGTGGAATGTGCTTAAGGTAGTGTGCGAGATTGGAAAGTTTACAATTCGTGATGCAATTCTGTTTCACAAATTTTGTATATTTAATAAAGAATATTTTGTGTTTCTTGCTCACCGTATGTTTGGTTGTTAATCTTTCTTTGGGCTGTGTGTGTGTGTGTGTGTGTGTGTGTGTGTGTGTGTGTGTGTGTGTGTGTGTTTGTTCCACAGCACTGATTCAGTGTTTGTTTGATTCAGAGTTTGTTTCTGATCATCAGCTCCATTTCCAGCCACAAGTTGGTAAAATACCTGCTCTCTCTTCTTTTTTATTTGCAAATGTATAAAACATTTTAGTAATTATAAACTAAAGGAGCTTCTTATTAGTTACTTTCCTGTCATCAGTCCCTTCTTTATCCCTCCTCTGCATTTTTACACAGAACCAAACAGCAGCAGCATCAAGTGGCTCCAGTGTGTGATTGTAGACAATATGCTGACATTGTGAAATCAAGATGTGACATATAACACAACAGCGTCAGCCTCTAGTATGACATATAACATGCGTGTCAGAAGCTCTTTATAAACAATAACAATGACATCACATGTCAATAACAATCATTTAGCGTCCCTGTTATATGGCGGCTCATCTCGTCCTCTGCTCGGAGGGTAAGGAGCTCCTGGACCTCATTGTTTTCAACGTTTGTGGACATTTACTGCCGCAGTTCTTTCTTTGAGTTAGCTGCTAACTGCTAACAGCTAGTCTTTAAATCTCCCTCAGTGAGTCACTCGCATAACACCTCATCAAAACATCACACCTGTCCTGCCTACTGTCAGGTTTACAGAGTGCTGAAGGGATGACATTTTTTTAGGCAGACATGGAAGTTAGCGTCGCCCCAATCTGGAAATCCATCGGTTAAAAAAAAGAAAAAAAAAACTTTTTTTTTCTTCCTTTACAATCTACAATGTAAATTGCAGAATCTGTCTTGAGAGATTAGCGTCGCCCTGGTTCATTTTGGATTGTTGCAAAAAATAATCTCTGTAACAAACATTTATAACACTCACAGGAACACTTCATGATTTTTGCAGCCTAAATGTGACAGCAGCAGTAAAAAGCTAAATGTTATTACAGTAAACAATAAACTCGCCTTTAAGGTCAGAGTAAAGATATGGATAAAAGGTAGATAGGATTGAGTAGGATAATATTTGTGGATAGGCAGGAAGGTATTTTACTCCATCTTTTTAAATTTCCTGAAAGAGTCTTTGGTGTAAATCGGATTTTATCAAGCTGTAAATTAGTGAGAATCATTTACTGCAGATTTTAAAGACAACCTGCCTTCTGTTGTCATCTTTAAAAATCACCAAAATTACAGCATTTATCACAGCCACAAACTGTAAACAAAAAAAAATAAAAAAAATAGATAAATAGTTCAAATTTCCGACGGTCCTTGGACACATCGTGTGCAACAAATGCTTCTGTCAGATAAAAAAAAAAAAAGTGTCAAATCATTTTTCAAGCACCGGGGAGGGAATTCTGTGTTTTTTATTTTGGCTGAGGGGAGGGGCACACAGATTTAAATTGTTGTATTTTTTATTCATTTTAATGTTTTATTTTGTTTTGTTTTTAGAAAATTTGCCTCCTTGATTTTGGCACTAAATGTTGGCACCTTTTAAAGACAACTTGCCTTCCAGATTTAGGTGATTTTCCAATTTTTAGTTTATTTACTTTATTAATCCCCTGAGGGGAAATTCAATGTTTTCACTCTTGCTTGTCAATTACACACAGGTCCAAAAGACACACACATGCACAAACAGGACCTATACATGCACAAAGTGGAGAGATGTCAGAGTGAGGGGGCTGTAATTCTGTTGTTTTTTATAAAACATGTCTGTTTTCCAACAACAACAAAAAATCACCAAAATGAAAACATTTATCACAGCCAGAAACTGTAAGAACAGAAATTATTACTGGATTTTCAAAATGGTCCTTGGACACATCGTGTGCAACGAACACTTCTGTCAGAAAAAACAAAAACATAAAACCAAGTCTGAGTTTTAACTTTTAAACATCAAAGCGTAAGTTTTAAAAATCTAATAAGTCATTTATGGAGGAGGGAGGGTCAAGGGTTTTCCTCCAGTCACTCAGGGAGGGTCAAGGGGAAATATCTGGAGCTTTGGGGAGGGTAAAAAAAAAACAGAGGTCACGCCCCAGCCGCCCCCTCTTCTAAAATATAAAGAACAGTCCCTTAGTGTCCATGATTAAAGACAACTCACCACACTGTTACAGTTATTTTCCGTCACAGAGGATGAACAGGATGATACAGATGTGAACATGTGGAATAAATCAAACACTTCTGTTCTTGATGTTCTGCTGCTTCTTGTGTTGTAATGAGTTTGAGATGTTCATGATATTTTGTCCACATGTCACCAGCACAGGTTTTATCTCAGTTTGACCACCAGAGGGCTTCATCTACTCTGTAAACTCTCACAGCTTCTCTCAGAGCGGACACATGAACACATGAACACATGAACACACACCCTCTGTAAAACTATAACTGTCGCAGTTTATCACCAAACTTTCACCCTGTTCACTTCCTTTTTAAACTCCTGTAAACACACCGTGTGCTCCTGGGAAGTGTAGTCCTCTAACAGCAGCTTCAAACCACATCCTGCCCGAGAGAAACCACATTACCCGTCATGCAGCGGGGTCAGTGAACAGCTGAGTGTTGACCGCGCAGCAGCTCTGCAGCCTGAAGTTTGATCAAACACCGCTTTTATAACCGTACAGAGGAAGAGGAGGAGGAAGAGGAGCACAGCTGTGTGTGTGTGTACGCGCGCGTGTGTGTGTCTGCAGCAACATGTCTGAGTATGACACCTTCCAGCTCGGCAGGTCCCGATACGACCAGGTACTGTCTCTAAACTTTCTCTCCATGTGTTGAGTCCAGGCTGCAGCAGCAGCTGTGTCACCTGGTGAACAGGTAAAGGTGTGTTAACACAGATAATGACATCATCACAGGTATGAGCTCTGAGTCTGTGTCTTACAAACAGCTGCACACACTCACTGTGTCTGTGTAAACTACAACACTGAAGTTTGTCAAACTCATACATTTACTGTTGTTTTACATTAACTGAACTCTGAACCTTCCTCTGTGTCAGTGTTCATGTGACCTGCTCAACTTTACCTGTAAAGTCCAGTTCATGAGATTTAAAGATTAAAATCTGTCCAGCTGACTCAGTGTTAACTTCATGGTACAGTCCTTAATGCATCTGAGGCTCTCTGACTGCTGCTAAAGTGCTTTATTGGTACCTGGATAAAACACAGTCTTCATCAGGGTGTGAGATAGAAACAGGTGTGCGCTTTAACTGATGTTTTTACGCCTGCCCACACAGAGCTTTGACACACAGCAGCACTCTGTTGTTTCCTCACATCATTTAGAGTTTGACCTTTGAACGCAGCGCGAGGTTTATAATCCATGGATGTGTGAAGAGACCTGGATCCAGAGTTAAAGGAGGGACCCTGTTATTACTGAGGGTGCTTTCACATGTAGTCCTTCTTAAACAAACCAAACTCAGACCTCTAGAAGTGGACCAGAAAGTGGACCAACAGAAAAAGGACTCAGCTCTAGTAACTATACCCTATATATATACTGACGTAGTTTATTTTTTACTTTGACGCGCCGCTGCAGTGAGGTGATGAAGCTGCTCACTTTCAGATGATCTTAATATTGGGGTGAAACCTCAGTATGTCTGTGCTGCAGACTGTTTCTGTGTGATGTATTCTACATTAACATCTGGAGACGTGCAGAATCTTCATGGACCACACTCCTCCTCGTCCTGCGTCCTTACAAGCGTGGTTTCATCTGTTGTTTCAAGCGTCCCAGGTCAGCGTCATGTGATCTAGAGGGCTGAATACAACAGTAAAGTGAACCTGTGCACTTTGTGTTCACAGGGCACTGGTTACATGAAGATGCACTGACTTGAAGTGACCTGATGTGGTCTGAGATCGGTTTGCTTCAGAGGGTCTGAGTTCTCTTGGAGTGTTCACATATGTGCAAAAAATGCCGAGTCACTGCTCTGAATCCGTTCAGAGGGCTGAAAAGGACCAAGTGTGAAAGTTGCTCAGCGGCTGAAGAAGACGAAACGAGACATGTCTAACAGTAGTTGATGAGGTGGTGCACTGCTGGGTGGATGGAGACATTTACTCTCCTCTGTGTTCCAGTGCTCTTTAGCTGATCGGTGTGTTACACCCACTAAAGGTCTCAGTATAAGGAGTGACAGGAAATGAGGTCGAGGGTTAAACAGTCCTTTTGTTACAGAAGTTCCACTTCACAGTCTCTGTTCTCTCACCTCAGCCTCCTCAGGGTCGACCCCCCGGTTATCACTAACAGGGCGGGGCTGAGCTCCACTGTCATCACTAGGTACATCCTGCCCTCACACAGCGAACACACATATTCAGAGTTTGCACACCTGATTATTTTTACTGCCAACAGTCGACCACGACACCTTAACCGGCTCTGACCTTCTGACTGGGTTTAACCTGAGAGAGCTGGTGATTCATAGGGCTGTGTGATCTGTCCTGAAAATTATATCATGATATTTTTCGGCTATATCGACATATATCTTGATATTTTTATCTGCTCAAAGCATTTCATCAGCGTCAGGACTGGGAGACAAAATTGAACAGAACATAATGTTTTTGACCAAATACTCTCTCTGACGTGACACAGTTTTAGGGATGACTATTATTTATTTATTTTTGTCATAAAAATGATTAACACTGAGATTTTTTATTAATAATCATCAATAATGTGGATATAAAGACTAAGTGGTTGAAGGAAAGCGTTAAAACAAATAGAAAAGTCTAGTAGGTTGAATAATTCACATCACTTTGCACACTGTAATTACATGATTGAAAAATCAATAATTTAACTGTTTTTCCCTCAAATAGAATTTTGTTTTGTGTTCTGTGATTTTGGGTAGAGTGACAGCCAAAGTCCATTAAAACCAAAAAGTGCCTTTAATGGTGCAGTGTCACTGTTGCTGTGTCTAAGCTGCTCAGCCAGTATTAATTCAGGTCAGAATAACAGGTTTATTAAAAGGTGTGTAAAATATAGAAACTAAACAGAGCATTAAAATGAATCAGTAAACTGTGAGAAAAGGAGAAAAACAGCTTTATGAAACAAGTGAACTGTAAAGTGCTGCGAGAAACACTTCATACTGTGTTTGTCATTAACAGTACAAAACCATCAGTTTTAGTGACGGTAAAAACATTAATTTCACAGTAACATAAAGTCGACACCCTGCTGCTGTTTACAGGCTTTTATAACGGGGAAATTCTTCCTAGTGTGGAACAGGATTTGTCCACATCTCAAGAACAGGTGAAATAAAATAATACATAAATTACATAAAAGCAGCTTTTGCATTTTTTAAAATAAAAACTGTATTTTGAGGTTGGATTTTTTTTGTTCACAGTCCAGCTCCGCTCCCATGACGTTAATTAATATGTCAGGTTTTTTAGATTATTAAAGTGATGTTGTTTGTAAATGAATCAGTCACAGAGATGGAGCGCATGTTTTTATTTTTGTTGTTGTTGTTTACACATTCAGACATTCATCTAAAACTACTTTTTTTTTTACAAATGTTTATTTACCTGTTTATAAGTAGAATAAGTTTAATCCAGAAATCCTAAAACTAAGATTCCAGCTGTATATTCTTACAGACTCAGCACAGTGAAGATGTTTCATTTATTCTTGATATCTTAGTACAAGTGTTGATGAAGCATAATGCACATTTTAATTACTGTTTATCTTATTTTATTACTTTATTTTATGCCCTTATTGTTTCATCTTATAATTCTCTGCCCCTCACATCAGAGCGACTGTAACAAGTCACAGTGTCCCCTCAGGGATCAATAAAGTATTTCTGATTCTGATTTTAAAAGAGAGAATAGGGGTAAATTTACTTTATGTGAAATTCAGCCAAGAAAATAATTGTCTTAATAGTTCAGTATTTCTTGGATATATTCATGACGCAGAGTTTAAAACCAAACAATACTTATAAAACATATTCAGGGAGAATTTAAGGACTAATATCAGATCAAAAATAATGTTATATGACCAAACCTTTCTAATGTAGACATGAGGTCACTCAGACTCTGACAGGTCATAGAGGTCAGTGTGACACTGATGAGTCCAGCTGAAATGAGTCCACTCTCCCAGTATCCCCAGTATCAGCTCTCACTGGTCAGGTTGGTGAGTCACTGGTGAATAATTGAATTTAACAGATTTTTAAAAACTCTTCCCCCACGCCGTGTTTTTAACCATCCATATGTTCAGGAAGTCACGAGGCGCCGCACAAACCAGATTTTCATCCAAATTAGTAGTTAGTGTAATTAAAGAGAAGTTGGGGAGGGACGGGCGCCGCTCCACGCCGAAACCATTCCTTCTGCTCCGTTCTGAATAATGATGGAAAGGTATTTCTGGCACAGTCATTATAGAAATTAATTGCGGATGGTGTGAGAGGATTCGGGCCCCTAAAAGATGCAGATAGGAAACAGTTTGTCGGAGGTATTAATGAGGAGGCTCCACCTGCTGTGTAGAAACAGCTGGCACGCTGTAATCTCACTGTTTACTGGGTGACAACTGGAATCTCTCCGCGCCCACAGAAACCGTCCACGTTCAGATTTGGCTCCTTTATTTTAACTAAATTAAATTTATTTACCTTCACATCAGATGAAAGTTAGGTTTGCTGAAGTTTCTCATCTGGACTCATTTCACTCAGCACACTGAAAACTTTAAAGTGTTTAGATGATAAATAATTGTTTACTGCTGTAAACAAAATGTATTTTTAATTAACTTATTAAAAATGAACGTAGATAATGTTTTTAACGATGGATTTCTCCTCCTCCTCTAGAACACGTTTTTCGGTCGGTTCAGGCACTTCCTGGATGTGATTGACCCCAGGACGCTCTTCGTCACCGAGGTAAACAAACTTATTTATTTTATATTTTATTTATTTAATGGATCTGATGTGATGAACGTTAACTGAACCATGGAGGAGAGATCCTCCTGAGCTGACAGGGACTGTGTGTCTCGTCTGATTGCAGTTTTTCAGGGAGGAACAGATGTTTTCACTCAGAGATTCAAGTCTGACTTTAATTTGATCAAGAAAATTCACATTTACCTTGAATTAAAATAAAAAACTGTGTCAGAGGCAACACGCTGATTCATTTTTGTCCTCCAGCCAATGTGACACCATATTACTGGACTTTATATTAATAACACGTTATGTATAGGTACCTTTCAAAGCACTCAAGGACACCTTACAAGACACAGTGAAAGAAAACGTCTCATTTTCAGACGGGATTTAAAAAGGAGTCGATACTGTGAATGTCATGTTGGAGAGACTTCCAGAGTCACGGTAAAATCTGAAGGAGCCCATGGTAGTCCAGGGCAGATGGTGACGTGAGCTGAAGAGGATCTCAGAGTTCAGGAGGGTGTGTAGGTATGGAGGAGTTCAGGCAGGTAGGAAAGGGCGTGGCCTATGATGGGCGTGGCTTATGAAGGGCCTTAAAGGTGAGAGGCAGAATCTTGAAGCCAATGTGACATTTAACAGGAAGTCAGTGAAGCTGCTGGCGAACAGGACTGATATGATCTGTGGAGGAGGTTCTGGTTATGATACAGGAGGCTGAATTCTGGACCAGCTGGAGTTTACGAAGACACTTGAGAGGACAGAATTTAAATAATCAATACCAGATGTAACCAAAAAGTGAACGAGTATAACAGCACTCTTTTTATTTTTTATCAGGGACCATGTACAGAGAACACTGGACTCAACAGAGTAAAGATGCACTGCACCAGATTATAGCTTTTCAGCTAGTTTCCATCTGCAGTCCCAGAGGCAGGCAAAAGAAGAAATAACAAAAGAAAAATTAAAATATTACAGAGACATATAAAAAGACAGACTGAAACAGTACAAGAAAATACAGCACATTGAAATCCATGAGACAACGCACACACAGCGTCCAAAGTGAGAGTGCTCACAATTCCACAGAAAACAATCATACAAGGTGCACACGCCCTTACAGAGCGCGCAGTGCAATGAGGCAGATAGAACACACACGTGTCTCATTTGGTCTTCATGTAATGTGTACATAAAGTACATAGTGCAAAATGAGAAGAGGATATTCACAGGTGTTAAATGGCGATTAATCTACTACAATCTGAGGTGTAAACGATGAGCAAAGACTGTTCATATTTCGTAGATGAAAGTAGAGTCACATGTGGGCTTCAACGGACAGTGGATGACACTCAGACTCTGAACCTGAGCGGACCTACAGATTTTGGATTCATCAGTGGTCGGAGAGAAACTGTGCGTTGAGCCAGAGCAGATTTAGTACCTACGAGGAGAACCTCAGTTTTATCAGTTAAACATTTAACAGAACAAATGCAGAGTATAAACCCGTTCAGAACCAAACTATGTGCCAAACACGCTAAAATATTGTAATGGTTGATTTCTACTCTGAATGCACTCATAAATTAATAACAATCTGTCCATCCCAGTGAAACAGAATCTTAATGCAGAAACACCTGATAGTAAAAATGACAATACAAAGTCTAAATAGATCTTTCTTGAGTTAATTAGTTTTTATAAACATTTAACTCAAATCAGTGAATAAAGCAATGATTTAAATCACATTGCATATATCCTGTTGTATTTGTCATCATGACTCAAAATATCCAGAAGTGTCTCCAGAAAACAGGAAGTTGAAACCTCCTGAGATGAATATGGTGTGGACATAATCAACAAGCTGATCAGAACAGTATTTCAGCCACCTGATGGGTAATTATGATATTTCACCTCATCAGTTGTGAGGCAGGAGAAGTGTCTGTCCATCACTGATGACTGTCAGAACTGAGGTTTTGTCGGCATCTACACATTTGCTATGATATACCTCTTGGGCACCAGTGACCAGGGTCGGTCCGGGGTCACCTGACCTGCGTTAGACTCTGCCTTCAACACAGGCTCATCCTGCTCATGACAGTTCAGAAACATGTGGGTCACAACCTGAGAGAAACCCATCAGTCACCTCACCTGCTGGAAACAGGCGTGGCGTTGACTCGTCATGTTCAGAACGAGTGTTCTGTAGTTCCTCCACAGTTAACCTGACTGGTTTGACCTGTCGTCAAAGCCTGTAATTAACTCAGGCTGTTTGTGACCTGTTTCTCTGAGTGTTGTCTGTCTCTGTCATTCAGCAGCCTCGTTATGTTCACACACACTATGTTGTCCTGCACTGTTGTGGTCACCTGACGCTTATTTTCTTCCTCGCCACCGACACTCAGGAGCTCCTGCACCCTGAGGTCTCACCACATCTCCACATTGTTCAAATCCAGACTGTAGCTGAAGACATTCATGCTGCCATTTGTTTACGAGCTGCAGCGACCTGTGACGTTTGTGTCACGACTGTGAGACTGGTTTGCAACCAGTGACAGAATTTGCTTCGCCCCGGTTGTTCTCGATCAGTGATGGGAAGGTTACTTTTGAAATGTAACAGGTTACAGATTAATTAATAGTTACCCTGTTAAAAATGAACTAAGTAATGTAACTATTTTAATTACTTTATCGAAGTAACTAACTTTTCTAACAAATGTTTTAAACTGCTGAAAAATGTCCAGAAATAGTCTCTGCCAAAGAAGAAATAAAACACTTCAGTCCCTCTCCAGAGCTTGAAAAATGATTTGTCATGCCCTTTTAAATAACAAACAGTACCTAAAGAAAACAAAGGTACTCTCCCTAAATCCTCCACACTGGACCTTTAAACCTCATTTTAACATGATAAATGTATGACCATATTTAGGTATGTCTCCTGGTCACAGAGCGTGGGTGGGTGGGTCGGTCGCTCTCTGCTCGTGGTCACGTCTCTTCAGGTCTTTGTTGTGTTGTGATTCTGTTCATCAGAGCTCTGCTGCTCTGGGTAATGAAGCTGTTAGCAGCCTCTTTGGTGACAGTAATAGCGGCGGCAGCTCCTGGGATGTGATGAGGTGTGGACATGTGGGGCAGCTGTGAGGGGCGGAGAGTGTGTACGCTCACACACACTCACACACACACACACACCTTGCACCCTGCTGGGCCGGCGTAGCCTCGACTTGCCCCTAATGACGAGAGAGGAGCAAGGATGGCCGGGATTTTGCATACACTCGCACACACACACGACCTTGTGTGCACACAAGGCAAAAGTGCACACCTAACAGAGAGTTAACAGAGTTCACACACACACACACACACACATGCTAAAGCTCATTAGTACAAATTGGGCCACATGACCTTGTATTTTGCTCGGCATTAGACGATGATCACACCACAGAAAGCTGCTCATTACCCTTTAGGAAACTCATTTGTCAACTGAAAATCAGCATGAAAGTTTCAGTGAAACACAATTATGGTGAGCAGCGAGCCGTGTGGCGTAAAGAGTGGAGTACAAAAACATCTGTGGAGTGACTCAGAGTGTTCTGACTTCACGTCCCATCTCACTGACTCTTTGTGTTTGGTCCAATCAGAGACGTCTGCAGGAGTCTGTGGAGCTGCTCCACCGCTTCAGACAGGGAACTCTGCCTCCAGGTGTGACGGAAGCTCAGGTAAACACACAGAGTTCACACGTGTTGATTGGTCCACTGAAGGGCTGAAAAACCAGCTGTTAATGACGTCAGAGAAGGAAGGAGAGCCGGGAGGTGCATCCCAAAATATCTCTTATACAGACTTTGCACAGTCTCCATTGGATAAATAAAGGTTTATAGAATATTTTCACATCACTCATTTGAAAAAGAAACATTTAAAGCTGGCGGCACGGTGGTGCAGAGGGCCCTCCACCCAGGGGTTTGAACTCTGTGGTGGGGGAGCGCTTCTGTGTGGAGTTTGCATGTTCTCCCTGTGTCAGCGTGGGTTTCCTCCAGGTGCTCCAGCTTCCTCCCACAGTCCAAAGACATGCAGGTTAATTGGTGACTCTGGTGGGCGGGGCTTAGGACAGAGAGGAGGAGGAGGTGTTTCCAGATGCTGGCTGTTTTTGTGTCTTTTCTTCCTCCAGCTTTAACTGACCGACAGAGAAACTGTTGCGTTCTTACAGATCACAGTTTTTCTCACTGAAGGTGTCTCTTGTGTCTCCACAGCTCTGGCAGGCTCAGAAAATAAAACAGGTGAGATGTTTGTGTCTTTAACTCACTTCCTGTCTCTCAATCTCAATCTCAATCTCAATCTCACACACACACACACACACACACACACACACAGCAGTTTACACAACAAACAGACAGCAGAGAGACAAAACATGAAAATGAAACATAAACGTCTTTAATGGAGAATTATTATTAAAATAATAAAGATGGAGAACAGACGAGTGTTTTCAGTGTTAATTAACAGTCACAGCTGACTGTAAAGTCGTCTGACAGTCAGTGAACTGAGCTGCAGGTGCAGCTGGTCAAACACAGAGTTATTTACAGTCACATAGAAACAGAGACTTTATGAATCATTTAAATAAGAATTAATGATCTTAATCAATTATTTATTCTTCTGTACACGTTAGCATTATGTTCATGTAATGAGTCGCTCCTCATCCACTTTGTTTTCACTTTAACAAAAAATATCTTAAAGTCCTCAAATCTCACTAAACTAAGGCACTAACGTGTGTCTTCATCTGATGAGACGTTCTGAATACAGATGTCAGTAAACCCAAATCTGACCCAGAATGCACCGAGGGACAAAGATGGTCAGTCTTAGTTCTGTTGGACGTGTAATAAAGTCTGTAAACACGCTCCTGACCACAGTGAAGCGCCGCAGCGTTAGGTTTGTTGTGTGTCAACAGTGCGAGCACGCAGAATTGGATACAGTTAGATTTGGTGTTCATGCATGAGACGATATGACAACAAAGCTCCAACTACAGCTCTACATGTTACCATGTGGTGAAGTCTGTGTGGGCAGGACGGTCACACCTCATCATCACTGGTTGTTGTAGATAGCTGCCACCATATTTAGCACTTTTAACACTTTATTTTTTAAAACAGTGAATTTCTGGCACAGAGCTTTTATTTTGAAGTGCTGTTTCCTGCTGTGGAGTGAGTGACTAACAGACAGATACTTGACAGAGACAGAAAACTAGCTCAATAACATGGCAGAACACATGTATGATGGTGAATATATTTAACTGTGTGGACCTTGAACTAATGACTGAGGAGAAATCTGGACCAGTTGGGAACCACTGTTGTAAATAATTCCTCATTTCCCCTCAGTGAATCAGCAGCAGCCCTTTCAAAGCAAGTGACAGGAATCAATAGAAACAGGGCATCCACCAAAAGTTCACTTCAAAACGGCTCACCATATTCCTCGTGGTCAGTTAGGACGCCTCATTCGTCAGCTTTAAATCCAAAATGTTGCCATATTGGTGCAGCTCTAAGCCCTGTTCCCACCAAACCCTTTCAGTCCAGCACCTTTGGAACCAGCAGTAAGCCTTCAGACATGGTACCTAGACCCTCGGTATGTTCAGACAGTCCTCTTAAATGTGGGCGGGGTTGTTGTCACTCACTGCTCCGTCCAGCACTCGCTGTATTTCCTCATCAGCGGTGACACAGATGGAAGTCTGCACCTAGTTTATCGTCCACAGAACGAGGCTGCACGCCCACATTTTCACAACAAAATAGAACAGGCTGCAGTGAGAGTCTATCTCCATGGGATATTTAAAAATAGCAGCTTTGTGCATTTAGTCCTTCTCAGGCAAGCTCAGGGGTTTAGTGTTGCTGTAGCCCACAGGAAGTGAGGATTAGAATATATGACCTTCACATAATCCGCTCCAAATTAATCTATATTTTTAAAGTCATTACTAAAAGTGTGTGTCATATAAAAACTAAAGTGATGGTCAAAGTTGTCACAGTGAAATTTAAGGTGTGCTGATGGATTCACGTCATCAACTCATGCATTGAGTAACATTACAAGTTAACGTTCCACCTTAAAAGTTGCCGGCAGTCGGCCCAGTGAATGAAGTTATTTTTTCTCTTTCATTTTATAGTTGTAGTTTACTGATGTATGAACAGAGGTTACATAAAACCAGAGTGAGCGTCCTCTACTGACCAATCAGACTGCAGGGTTTCTAGCTCCACCTTTTAGTACCAGATCTGTGTGCTAGGTACCCCAACAGAGGGGGGACCAAACATGGGGACGCTAAGGAACGCTTCTGTTGGGACCATCCACAACTTTTCATCGTGAAGACATGTTGAACTGAACCGCTCGGTGGAAACAGGGCTGTAGTTTTCTTGAGAGACCAACTGTGCCATGTTTTGTCTCGTCACCCCAAAAAAACACATCAACTTTTTGGTAAACAAAATCAACATGTGCCACTCAGCCTCCTCACCTCACCAACATGTGATCTCCTTCATGTTGTGCTCAGCTCACGGCCTGTCAGACACTACAGGCTCCGTTTGTCTGTTTATAAAAATATAAACATAATTTTATATCAGTCACGCTGTCATATCTCTTGATACTAAAGCAGAATGAGTTGGATTTAGTGCTGTGACGCTGCTGATGTAGGTGACTTCAGCCTGTTTGCATAAAATCAGACTGGTTTAAGCTTGTACATCAGACCGGACCATCAAAACCAGAAATCAGCCAAACTCTACATCCAGACTTTTACTGTATTTAAGGTGAAATTAATTTGTTTCCAGTATCACTTAAAACTTTCCTTAATTTTTTATCTCCACAGTAAAACTCTGTTCTTAATTAATTTGAACTGAACTCACTCAGATCTGATTATCGTCTGATGGTTCTGATTACAGGCCATCATCCACCCTGACACGGGGGAGAAGATCCTCATGCCCTTTCGGATGTCAGGTACGGTGGCTCGGTGTGGAAGCTTTGGGGGCAGTGGGATCTCGGGGCTTGTTATGTGGTCCAACATGGAGGCGGCGTTCACCCTGGGAACTGTCACGGCTCGACGGGGCTCTTCAGGTTGTCTCGGGCCTGAAAAAGGTCACACTCAGCTGGGCGCTGATTAAAACCACTCTCCCACGGTGACGGAGACGTTCTCGAGGTTCTCTGAAGAAGCAAACACGAGTATTTTGGTCCGGGCTCGAAGCACCTTTTTTACAATGCGACTCCGATGTGTTGGAGAGACGGGGGGAGGGAGGACACACACCAGGGATTAATACGTTAGGACCAACATTCCTTATATGTCAGACGAGTCCTACTGCTCCATCTAACCTGTGGAGACCAACACTAATTAAGAAAACCTGAACTGTTGGATGAAGAATAACCTTAAACACAAACTGTTCTGAGTGTAAACTGTAGCTCTAATAACACTGACTCTGTTTATCACAGGTTTCATCCCGTTCGGCACACCAGTGGTAAGACGTTTACATTTCAGTAAAGCAAATCCAGTCACCATGTTTATTGTTATTGATCTAAAATGCAGAAGGCCACAAAGTTTTGATATTGTTTTAATCCAAAATTGGCCCTCCATCATTTAAGCTCTGTTATTTCTACTTGTAATTGTGTAGTTTTGTAAAAGTGTTTTATCTTTGTGCAGGTCGTTGGTCTCCTTCTCCCAAATCAAACGTTGGTGTCAACAGTCTTCTGGCAGGTAAATACCAACTTCTTCACCTGTAAAAGAATCTATATTTATTTATTTATGAGGACAAAACACATCAGTGTGTTCCAGTTTTCTCCAGCCGGACAGTTCCTACTTGACGTCCTGGGAAGACGTAAAAACCAGTGAAGTGACAGATTGAGAAAAACAAACACTCAACAGGAAAAGTTTCAACAAAAGCAACAAATTTATTTTTCTGAAATCAGTTCCACGAGGAAAAGCAAAGGATTAACGTCAGTGGTTAAATATTCGATCACTGATACGTGTTCTAGGTGTGTCAGCACATCGACATAATAAGCTCCTCTTCTTCTTCTTCTGTGGTTTTCTCCTCTCACAGTGGTTAAACCAGAGTCACAATGCCTGTGTGAACTACTGCAACCGCAACGCCTCCAAGGTAACAGTGACGTGACCATCCACACACACACTGTGTATAACCAGAGCTGCTTTCATATCTTAATCTCATGTTTTTTCCTCCTCAGCCAGCTGCAGCCTCCAAATTCATCCAGGGATACCTCGGAGCAGTGACCAGCGCGGTCTCCATTGCTGTGAGTTCCCATCATGCCTCTGCTCTGACTTAACAGGCCCTGTGATGTCACGACATGACGTGATGTCATCACACAGCAAATCGTGGAGTTTCTTTTTGATCCATAGTGTCTTTAAACCAGAGGTAGATCAATATATCAGTGTAATACTGGACTGCTGTTGACTGCAAATTGAAGTGGAGGTTACTGTCTACGTAAAAAGTCTGTAAAACTTACCCTTTTCAAATTCAGCACAAACATAGTGTGGGACTCTAGAAATAAGATTTGGTTGTTGTAGATCAAAGATCAACATCACAGTGACCTTGTCCAACTCATTCTGTGAACACAATATCTCAAGAACGCCTTTAGGGAGTTTATTTCAAATTTGGCACAAACGTTCACTTGGACTAAACGATGAACTGAATAGAATGTGGTGGTTAAAAGTCACTGTGACCTCACAATACATGTTACCATGCCTCTGTGGAGGCGATAGCCATGGCAGCAGACATGATGTTCTTGAGTTGTCCATCTGTACGCCTGTCCCATTCTTGTGAACACATTATCTCATTATCGCCATGAAGGAAGTTCTTCAAATTTGGCACAAACGTCCACTTGGACACATGACTGAACCGATTAGAATTTGTTGGTCAAAGGTCAAGGGCTGTGTGACCTTGCATCTGTCTCATTTTGTGAACGTGATATTTCAAACACACTGTGAGGGAATTTCTTTAGATTTGGCACAAACATCATTTGGACTCAACTATGAACTGAGGTCAGTGTGACCTCACAAAACATGTTTTTGTCCATAACTGAAGAATTCATACGTTAATTCTGACAAAATTTCACACAAATGTCTAACAGGATAAAATAATGAAGGTCAAAAGGTCAAAGGTCAGCTTGACTGTGACATCATCATGTTTTAACGTCATATCTCAGGAACAGAAGGGGAAACATTTGGTCAGATACTGAATTGGTGACTCTAATCTTGAAACTGTGCTGATTGTATAGATCTTCTGTGTGTGAAGCATCCATGTTTTCACTGACATGGATGGAGACTGTCACAGACACTGGACTGGTGGGCGGAGTCATACAACCACAGGGTGGGCGGAGTCATACAACCACGGGGTGGACTGGTGGGCGGAGTCATACAACCACAGGGTGGACTGGTGGGCGGAGTCATACAACCACAGGGTGGTGATTCTAGTTTGTCTCGTTGTGATACATACCAAAGTCTCACCCAGACACCCTGTTAACTCTTTATGAATCCGCTTTTTACGTCTGAAACCTCCCGTCTACAACGGACTTGAGACGCACACTCGTTGAGGACTTGGCTCAGATTCCAGAGTTCCTCTCTTATCCCGAAGCCTCCTCAAGGAATCTGGTCCTGTTTGATTCGGCGGTGGGAACCTCTTGTGACCACATGCCTTTGCTGACGTCGACTCCAGCAGGATTCAAACCCTGGACCTTCCACATGGAAGACGAGTAAAATCTAACCATTACACTCGGGAGGCGCCCTAACAATGTTATTAATCTGGGTTTATGTGCTGAGTTTAAGGGCCCAAACACACCTAACTGACAACAGATAACGAGTGGTGACAGAGGCCGACTGTTGGTGTCATATCAGGTCGCCTGAAACTCGGCCAAGAAGTTGGTGACTAGTGCCAATGATAAGATAAGATTATGCTTTTTTTTTTTTTTTTTTTTTTTTTTTTTTGGCCCACAGCTGCGAAATTTGCAACATGACAGCAGCAAAGGGAGAGAGTGCAAACAGGAAGCATCAGTAGGAAAAAACACAAAGCAGTAAATCAGAACGAAGCAGTAAAGAGAGAGACACAGATCAGTGTGATCAGTAAACTGTACAGAACACAAAGCAATATAATAAAAGATGCAAAATATAATATAGGGACAGACTGAATGATGTTTCAGGTTTAACTGTTGTTTCAGATTCTTTTCCACAAGAAACGTTTACAGAATTTTAATTATTTGACAGGTAGTTCAGTATCAGGACAAACCTTTAAACACCAGCATCACAACACCTCATCAGCTGAACCTTTTTCTGACCTTCACGTCATCAAAGACTCAAATGTCAAAGAGTGTAACACACGTTCACACACCTGCCTGACACAGGCCTCAGTGTGGACGCAGGGCTCAAACTGAGCCAATTACTGGTCCCACTGGGCGCTCATCCGGCTGCTGCCCTCAGGCTTGACAACGGCAACAAGCTCAGAAAAAAAATCACGGGGTGTCTGGAGGGCGGAACGTCAGGCGGGGAGGGGGGCGGGAGCTCTCCAATTAAACCTCCACTCTGGTGACGACCCCCCGCCGGGGTGGGGAGAGCCGGAGGCTGAAGTGACATGTTGGTGTTATCTGAGCCTTTTGACTACAGACCTGCAGTGTGTTAGAATACTGTGTTTAACTGTTTATGCACAGAGACAGGGAGCTTTTATACCAGTTATATCTGACTCTGAAAAGTTTTTTGTTTCTGTGCTGAAACCATGAAAGATTAAATCCTATTAATTCAAACATTAACTCCAAACATTCAGCGTGTGTCTCATCAGCTTGTTTAATCTGAGTGAGGGACTGTCTGAATCATGTGCGTCTGGTTTTCCTTCAGGTCGGGTTGAACGTGTTAATCCAGAGAGCGAGCAGCTTCAGCCCAACGACAAGGCTCCTGGTGCAGAGGTTCATCCCCTTCCCAGCAGTGGGTGAGTTCAAAGAGCTCAGAGAAACACTTCACAGGGATTAAAGCCCGCTCTCCACCAAAACGGCCTTTTTAAACTCAATCAGTGTTTGTTTGAGTTCACAAAGGAGTGCTGCGGGAACAAGTCCTGAAACCCAGGGATGAGTTAGCATGTTAGCATGTTAGCACTTCCTGTTCCCTCGTCTTGAAGTCAGCAGGTTTTGATCAGATGTCTGATATAAGGTCTGTGGTTCACAAAGCTGAAGAGACTTTCATGTTTTGTTTTATAACATAAAACGTATTTAGTTTAGTTTATTTCAGTCATTTTCTAACTTCAACAACTCAAATACAGCGGTTTAAATATTTTTCTAAACCTGTTGTGTGTATGACACACTTTCATATCAGTTTCTAAACCATCCCACAGATCGACTCCACACACTGAAACACATCTTTGTTTTTTGTGAACACAGTTTCCTCTCAGTTCATCCTGATGATCTCTGATTAGAAACAACCTTAGATTCAGCCTGCTGACATGTGGTTGTACACTTTGTACATCAGTGATGCTGGTCGCTACATATCCCAATGTGAATTTAGAAGCTTTTAACAGTTGCTAACAATGAGACTACAAAACGTCATCACTTTACAGCCTTGTTGTGATGCTGACGTTGAAGTCATGTGGCCATTGTGTAGTTTGATTATAGCGTAATGTTAGCTTTTTACCTCCGCCGATTGCAGAGAGGCTTTAAACATCATAAAAGTGGTGTTCATTAGTGAAGATTATCTTACTGAACAAAACCTTCAAGTGTCACACTTTATTTGCTGCGATAATCCAAGCAATTGGGGAGACTAGCAATTTTTTTGGGGGGGGAGGGGCATACAAAATTAAATGGTTGTATTCTATCTTTTAGAAGAACACCAAAATGACACAACTTATCACAGTCAGAAACTGTAAAAACAGAAATTATCATGGATTTTCAAATTTCCGACAGTCCTTGAACACATCGTGTTGACGAACACTTCTGCCAGAAAAAACAACAACACCACATCTGAGCTTAAAATGGTGATATTTCATCAAAATTAATTTATATCTCATTTGAAATTTGGCCAAAAATAAACCTTTTTCCAACTCCAGGATTTCATCTTCAACTTTTAACTTTCAAACATCAAAGGGTAAGTCTTAAAAAAATCTAATAACTCATTTATGGTGGAGGGAGGGTCATGGATTTTCCTCCAGTCACTCAGGGAGGGTCAAGGAGAAATATCTGGAGCTTCAGGGAGGATAAAAATAAATAAATAAATAAATAGATAAAACAAAGGCACACCTCAGCCCCCCTCCTCTGATAAATAAAGAACAGTCCCTTAGTGAGTTGTTGTCATGTTTTATGGGATGATTTGCTGTGTTTATAATGCACAGTGTAAGGTGACACATTTCAGGTGCATTTAAAATACAATTTGGTCACTGAAAAATCTGATTAATGATTTCAAATATATGTTTTATGCAACATTAAATTTTCCCCAGTTTTGACTGTTTTCTTACATTTAGTCACATCGACTAGTCGAGGGTTAAACATCAGGGAGATGATGTGTCGGGAACAACATACTTCAGGACTCCTCTGTGATCATCATAACTGTCTGTACGAGAGCCAAACCACAGCTGAGAGCTTTGTGTCCCTCTGTTCCTCACAGTCCGTCCTGCTCTCTGCGGGGTTACAGACGTGTTGTGAGCTCACTCTGTCAGACGTGTGTGGAGCCACAAAGCTGATTTCCATGCCGCTCTCCCACAAACACACACCCAGGGGTATAGACCCGTGTCACACAATGCTGCCGGCTCATAATTAAATTGTTTGCCTCCCCCCTCTCTTACCATGGCGGCTCTTTTAATTAAATCAACAGGTTTCTGCAGTGCAGCCTTTGCCTGGTAATTGGCTGCTTGTTAGAACTCTGCTGCCGCAAACAAATTGGATAATTACCCCTAAAGTGGCGTCTATGTCAAGGCCTCATTTACCCGATTTATGTTTGTTCATTGTTGTTGCTGTTGTTGTTTTGCTGGGCCCATATATAAGGTAATTAAAATGGCTAATTGAAGCGAGCGAAAGCAAAGTGCTGTTTGAATTTTCACCTGCTTCATTTTGTTTGCTTACTTAAGGCTAGATTTATTTGTAATAACCTAATCAGGCAGCAGCCTGTCATTCAATTAGATTATGAAGACCTCAACTGCAGGGGACGACACGCCGCAGGAAAATTATGGGGATAATTAATTTGTTGTCTTTTGAAAATATTTATTATTATTTAATTATTATTAATTAATTATGTGAAAAACTCTTTAGCGCATTTCTGTGAGTGTGCCGCTCGTTATTAGCTGACAATTAGAATGTACATAAATGTAATTATTTCAAATAATTACAAATTACAGCCGTATATTTCAGCACTGAGCTGCACACACTTTACAATCATTGATTTCATTTTATAATTACTTTGATGCCTTTGTTAATTTAATTACAAATGTTTACTGTGAAAATTTGATCTGTTTCCTGTAGTTTTTGTTATTCCTCACCAAAGTCCACCTGTCTGTCCTTTTATTAATTGGTCTGGATAAAAAAAAAATCCCTTGTAGGTAAAAAAGAGTGATTTGTTCAGTCAATTGAATTCCCCTCACAGAGCGGCCCTCAGCCCCGCGGCCCTCAGCACAGATAACTCTGAACGCTGTTGTCTTAAATTAAAAAGGCTCGCGGTGCCACCACTAAACTCTCTAAAATGAGTTTTTCTGATTCCTATTAGAGTCAAGGAGAACGGTCCGTCTACATTAACATACATTTGTGTTCATTTTGGCTCTCGTGAATAAATCACAGGGTAACAACACTGCTGTCTGCTGACCTGTCGCTCACCAGGGTCATTGTGTTCAACACTGATTTGACTGACTGGAGTCAAAGAGAAGAGGCTCCACGTTTAGTTTTGTGTATTATGGCACAAATGACACGGCAGTGATGTCGTCTAAATTTGGGTTTTTCAGAGAGTAAAGCCAGAGGACCAGATCAAATGCCTTGTGTGAGAAAGCTGCTCTTGATTGGTCAGAATTTCCATGTGGGAAAGATCCAGGAAGTAAAGCAAACGTTGAAGAAGAGTACACTTGCAAGATAAATGTGACACTTTCTAATGTCACAATGGAGGGACAACTACGCAGGTTGATTTTAGCGCTGCTCATCGTGGACTATATTGCTGTCATTGTTCATTTTAGTCAAACCATACAGCACTTCACAGAAACCCCACAGCCAACTAGTGTTGTGGAGGTGTAACTGCAGAGTGACTCAGACACACCACCACACAAGTATATTATGTATTAGGAGACGTCTTTGGGTCAACATGTTGTAAGCAGTCAGTATTTTGACACATATAGGACCTGTATGGATCAGAGAAAGACACTAAACTGGATCTCCTGACTCTTAAACCCCCACACAATAATATTCCAAGATGTAATCCCTCCTCACAGTGTCTACCACAGTGCCGTTGAGCAGGGAGCTGAGCGTCTTCCTGCTCCAGCAGCTCCACACAGACTGTCTGATCTTTAACCACGCCGCAGGGTGAAAAGACAATTTGCTCATTAGTGAACTAATAAAATATGTGAAATTCTTCGAGGTGAGACACTTTGAGTTTGAAAAACATTCTCACCTCCTACAGCGAGTGCAAACGTCTGCAACGTGGTGCTCATGAGACACTCGGAGCTGTCGGAGGGCATCAGCGTCCTCGACGACAACGGGAATGTGGTGGGAACATCAAAAGTGGCTGCCAGGCATGTACGTGGCTTTTTATCTTCAGAGAACTTTGTTTAGTGACTGATGTCATGATTGTGAGTGCCAGCTGTATATGATGAGGTGCGGAGTTTACCTCTCAGTATGAACAAAATTAAAATTCATGATATTTCTTTCGTCCTTCTCTAAATGTCTCCTCTTATTTTTCTGACAGGCACTTTTAGAGACAGCTCTGACCAGAGTGGTGCTGCCCATGCCGATCCTGATGCTCCCGCCCATGATCATGGCTGTTCTGGAAAAGTAAGAGACCGTGTTATTTTTTATCTTCCATGAACTGGTCAGTTTTCTCAAAGTTAAAGGGAAATGTTGGTATTTTTATCCCTCCATGCCGGCGATATGTTTTTGGGTTGTCCTTCTACACACATTCGTACGTCTGTCCCATCCTGATGAACACAATATCTCAAGAACGCCGAGAGGGAATTTCTTCAAATTTGGCACAAACGTCCACTTGGTCTCAACAATGAACAGATTAGATTTCAGCGGTCAAAGTTCAAGTTCAGTGTGACCTTGCATCTGTCTAATTTTTGTGAATGGATATCCCAAGAACACCTTGAGATGATTTTTTTTACATTTGGCACAAACGTCCACTTGGACTGAAGAATTAACTGATCAGAATTTGTGGTCAAAGGTCAGTGTGACCTCACTAAACATGTTTTTGGCCATGACTTAAGAATTCATATGCATACTTTTGTACATCTGGAAAAAAAAATTCATCTCAGAGCAGAAAAGCGCTCCACATCATCTGTTCTTTTTCCCATTGTCCAATGGGATGATTTGAGGGGCGGGGCTTCTGTGGTGGTCACAACAACCAGTTTACAGTTGCTGAACAAAGGAGGAGAAACTGGTGGTAGTGGTTGCTGGATACCCAGAGCTATACGACTTTACAAAGCACAGTTAGCACCATCTCAATAGAAAACAGCAGATAAGTGCAGTACTGTAAATGTCCATGATGGAGGAGAAGCTCCTGGACCAACTGGTGGTACTCCCCATGATCCAGCCTCTTTTTTAGGGTCTCATGTACCCACACAGATCTCTGTTTATCTGCTGACAGCCTCTCACCCTCAACCAGAGCTACAGACAGCACCCTCTGCCTCAACATGGCAGCAGCTACACACTGATTACTGCAGGATACATACCGTAAATAATGAGTAGATTGATCACACAGGAAGTTAGTGTGAGGAGATGATGGGGTGGTTGCCTGGCAACAATAAAATGGTGCAGCAAGCGCTTTTTCTTTTTCTTTTTTTTTACTAACACTGTGGCGCATCTCACGTTTTGCAACCTGCAAAACGCTTTCTGTGTGATCGGGACCTAAATAAGTTCAGCAGTTCATCACATTGCCAATTTAAAGTTAGTTATTCCAGGAGCCGATCAGTTTAAAAACCCGTCTTTGTCCTTGCCGTTGATGTATGTTGGGTGTAGGTGGGTTGACCCATGATAAAGTTATCTTTTTTAAAGGATAAATAATAGGATAATAAAAAGGATCTGCAGCCTTTCTCTTTCCCGTAGCTCCATCAGAGACTGCTCCGGCCAGACTTATAATTTAACATCATAATCATGAAGGTCTGCGTTTTAGTGTCACTTTTTGAGAAGGTGGTCTTTGCTGTGGAGTTTTACAGCCTCTGTTATCACGGAGACAACATAAAATAGAACACTCAGTTTAGACTGCAGCTAATAAACATTTACTGAGAGCAGAGCTTCTGTTCATGATGGTTTTTGTGTCTAGAGGGCTCTGTCAGTTTTCTTTCTTGAACCTGGATTTTCAGCTGATGTAGTCTCTGTAGGTGGCACCCTTTTCTTTGTCCATTCATGTCTGATAATAATAATAATAATAATAATAATAATAATGATACTGCTGCACACATTGCCTCATTAAGACTCTGTATATGTTAAATCATTGTTAGCAAGAACCTGTGTCAGAGGAGAATTTTCCTAATTAAACGAGTTAATTAATGCTCTGATGAAAGAGATGAAGGCTTTAGTGTTGTCGTACATTACAAGTGTGGTTAATTAAAAATGCAAACAAGCTCTAATTAAATGACAATTCAGTATTTCAGAGTCTCAGATTCCTTCATCGTCGCTGAACCTTTTCCCGCGCTGAGATTCAGTGTTGTGTGATATGACTGTAATGATGTCTTAATGATGCAATGTGTTTATACGGACGTCCTGTGATCGATGGCCTGACTGAGCCTGCGGTGTACCGAGGAATGCAACCATCTTTGTAAATCCTTGACAGCACTTGTCCCAACCGCTCTGAGCAGGCGGGCTCAGACAGCGAGCGCCGGCTGCCCAGGTGTGTTTGGGATTCCTGGCAGCTGCATGACTGAACGGGAAGAGACAGAGAGACAGAGAGGGAGTGTATGTGAGAGGGAGCAGGGGGCTGTGAGGAGGGATGCAGGTGAGAAGTGCTCAGCTATCCTCCATGTCAGCTCGCCTTCACTGGCTCTCAATGGAGCGAGAACAAGGGGACAGAGACGGGTCCCTGCGCGGCCCCTCCATGATGGATGACACTGCTGAGAGCAGACTGAGGGCAGCGACAGCAGGTTCTGTCCCTCATCTGAGAGAGGATACAGACTCATAAACATATTCACAGCTTCTGTTTGTTTCAGTGAGTCTTAAAGGAACACTTCACCCACTAAACGATTATTTGTACATCAGTTACTCACCTCATGTTACACTGAATTCATGAACAAAACTTTGCTCAACACTGGGACATGCAAGAAAAACAAAGACTCCAAAACGAAAGAAAATTCTTGATGAATTGAAGTCATAGGGCTCCACGTCTAACAACAGCAAGACTATATCAAAATATCAATTTATAAACTCTTAGGATCTGTACACATGCCGCGTCTTTAACCGCCTGGAAAATGTGACGTGAGGAGCTGGGTGCTACCCTTGGGCCTTTTCTCTACCAGCTTTCAAGAGCGCTGCAATAGGTTGCATTTGAGGTTGCTATGCGAGCCTTTCAAAGTGTTGCTATGACATTACTCTTCTGACTCTAGCAATGTTTTCTAGATGGTAGCATGCAGATAATGTTACAGATTTAATTTGGTTGTGTACATCATCGTCAAAATCTGGAGCTTGGGCAGCGTCCTGTGCAACACCAGGGGTCCCCTTTAGCTTCTGTGTGAGACGCACCTTTCACAAACTCGTATGAAAACCCATCTGTGTCCAACGTTGTTTAAAAGAGTGTGAGAGAGGGTGGGTGGAGAGATGGATGAGTCCAACAGGCACAGGTTTGGTTGCCTAAACCTAACCACTAACCCTGCAGCAAGGCTGACCCTGGCATAGTTATAGTGCCTGGTCTAATTTAAGTGTTTTAAATTATGCACTGTTCATGTCCATGTTAGCTTTGTTACAGTCTTCATCTTTCCTACTTTTGCTTCATCTCTAGAACAGAAATTAAACTCTGACTTCGTCTGCAGCTGAAACACAAACGCCTCCTGGCTTAAAGTTCATTTTGTTGTATCTTCATGATCATCATCACCCTCACCTCCATCATGAGGTGTTTGTTTCGTGTTGAAATTAGAAACCTGGTTTACAGTTCATTTGTTCCTGTTGACATACCTCTGTAGACACATTACATCAGGCTCTGCAAGACGAAAAGTAACTGAACAAAAGGTCAAAAATAATGTTCGGAAATCACCATGTCTGATCACAGATTCATTTCTGTTGCATTAATGTGTGTTCTTAATGCAAACAGACTCACAGTTAGCAACTCTGTGTAATCACTGTTATACATAAAAATGTATATATTATTAATGTCCTGAAAAATACATTGATACAAGTAGAATCTATTATGACTGTTGTTGGTTTTTGAATTTAGAAATGTAGTTTTGTTATTCTCACTTTCCAGCAACTTCAGTTACGCTGCAAAAAGATGGCTTTATTCCTATGTGTCTGATGCTGGAGGCTACAGCCCTTTTTAGACAGGAGTTGTGCAAATTTGCAGGAAAGCCCAATCAGTGTTTTTTCAGCATTGGCAGTATAAAAACAAAATGCCGCCTACCTACTTTTGTTTATACAGAATGTGCCTTTTTCGGGGCAATGGGGGGCGTGAGCAAGTAACAAACAGTGACGTGGGAGGGAAGCCGCGGCTGGTCAGTCCTTCGGCGATTCTCTCGTAAGTCGGCCCGTTCTTCACCGTCCCAGTCATCTGACGGTTAATGGCCTCTTCGTTTGCGAGGACAAGGAGGGCGCGCAATTCCTTGTCTCCCCAGTTGCTCATCTTTACAGTGTCTGTCAGGTTTGTGTTTCCCTCTTGCTACTAGCTGCTCACTAATTCCTGCTATCAGCTGTTTCCTGTTTATCCACCGCCAGTGGCTCGCACGTGTGGCGTCATCAACAGCTCCTCCCACAAGTCTTCAACAGCCCCTCCTATAGAGTGTGCCAGGGCTGACGTCAAAACCCGGAAGTTTAGCATCGCTCTGGTTCCCGGAAGAGAAAGTGAATGTGATTTTTGCATTGTGTTTTGGATTATGTCAGAAAATAAGCTCTGTGGCTAACACAAGTTTATGATACTTACAGGTTTTGTTCAGCGAGATAATCTTCACATATGAACACCTTTCATACCACATTTGAAGCTTAAATGCGATCGCCAGAAGTAAAAAGCTAACGTTAGGCTTTAACGGACTACATGACTACTCCACAGTCGCATGACTCTTGACGTCACCGCCACTAAGCTTTCAACTGATTTTGGCCGCTTTATTTTAAAAACATTGTATAATGGGGAAATCGGACTGTTTAAGCTAAATAAGAAGCTGTAATGGCGGACTGCCAGCACTCTCGCCTGTTTGGGGCTGATGACGTTTAATGTCCCCGACAGGGTTTGTACTCGTATTGAGCAACTTGTTAGCAACCGCCTTTTTTACGACATGTAAGAGCTTCAAAATTCACAAGTAGGGTATTTACTGACGTGTTTTATGTCGTAGAACAAAACCTGAAACTTACTTAAGCTTTTGTTAACCACAGACCTTATTTGAGGCATTTTACCAAAATCCCATTAAAAAAACGTATTGACTTTTAGACGAGCGAACCGGAAATGCTAAAAGTGCTAACGGAGTTCCGGGTTTACTGGCACACTCTATTGCAGAAGGTCGCCTCGTTCTGTTTAAACTAAAAGGGTTCCACCAATATGTCTACCCTACGAGGTGTAGAATTGGGCACCTCGGATCAACTCACATCAAACGCTCGCAGCTTGCCGGCAAAATGGCCCAACATTCGCGGAAAATCTGGCAGTGTAAAAGGGGCTAATGACTGGATGGCGGTATTTGATGACTTCAAAGTGAGAATGGTTTATCTCACAAGCTGCGTTTCCACCAAACCCTTTCAGTACAGTACCTTTGCCACCAACAGTGGGATATTTAAAAATAGCAGCTTTGTGCATTTAGTCCTTCTCAGGCAAGCTCAGGGGTTTAGTGTTGCTGTAGCCCACAGGAACGACTGAACTGAACTGCACTGCTCGGTGGAAACAAGGCTGTGGTGACAGGGAGGTTCAGTCGTGGTGTCAGAGTTTCATGTAAACAGTTAAACCCACTGAGACCTCACCAGAACATGGCCACCAGCCAGTTTGCTCAGAGCAGGTAAACACAGACAGCACTGTGTGAAATTGTGTCATTCATTTCGGATAATATCAAGTTTCTCTTACCTGATTTGATTTGGAGGTTTTCAAACTGCCCAAACCTTCCCCTCATGACTCTCACAACTTTTCTCCCATTGACTTCTCTCTTTGTAACCCACTTATAAGATCTGTGTGTGTGTGTGTGTGTGTGTGTGTGTGTGTGTAGCGTAGCCTAATTAAACCATGGCAGCCATATGTGTTAATGAGCTCCCTCATTAGGCAGTAGCTCTCCTCGTTAGGGGGAGAGGCGTCGCTGGTGGAGGAGAGACGGAGCGGCTCCTTCTCAAGCTCCTGCTGAGTTCACTGTCCCACTCGCTGGAGAGGGGATTATCCTACGGAGGGCAGCGAGGAGGGAGCAGAAATCTGGGCTGAGACCAGAAAATATATTTCTGGAGATAACATTCTTAAAATGTCTGTTTTGTGCAGATGGAGAAAAATACAGCTTTTATAACTGATGGCAATAAGTTTCTGAAACTGTTGGAATGTATTTGTGAGGGATTATTATCACACAACAAACAAATGACAATGAAAGCAAAGACTGAACTGTAAACAGGAGCTGAGTCCGTTTTTAATTGTTTTAAATGCAACCGATTGGTTGTTGAGTCAAACTCTACGTGAAAGGAGAAATTCAGTTTTTATGCCTCACACAGGCGACAGCCGCCGCCACAGGCAATATGTTTCCAGGTTGTCCATCCGTCCCATTCTTGTGAATGTGATATCTCAAGAAAGCCTTCAGGGAATTCACTCACATTTGGCACGAATGTCCGCTGGGACTCAGCAGTGAACTGATTAGAATTCGGTGGTCAGAGGTCAAGGTCGATGTGACCTCTTTTTGGCCCAAACTCAAGAATTCATACACTAATTATGCTAAATTTCACACAAATGTCTAACAGGATAAAATGATGAAGTGATGATGTTTTATATCCAAAAGGTCAAAGGTTAGCTTCACAGCGACATCATAATGTTCCACTTAAAACATCTCCAGTCCCCAAATTCATCCAGGGATACCTCGTTGCGGTGACCAGCACGGTCTCCATCCTCTTGAGTTCCCATAATGCCTCTGCTCTAACTGAACAGGCCCTGTGATGTGATGTCATCACACAGCAAATCACTGAGTCACTTATTGATCCATTATGTCCTTAAAACAAGAGACAGATCAATATATCAGTGTCTTAATGACAAATTGAACCAGGAGTTCCTTTTTTTTAAAGTCAGTAAAACTTACCCTTGAGGGAATTTTTTTTTTAAATTTGGCACAAACGTCCACTTGGAATCTAGAATTAACTAATTAAAATTTGGTTGTCAGAGGTCAAGGTCACTGTGACCTCAGTTGTCCGTCCGTACCTCTGTACCATTCTTGTGAATGCAATGTTTTAAGAACGCCATGAAGGAATTTCTTTAAATTTGGCGCAAACGTCCACGTGGACTAAAGTGGTGTTTGCTTTAGTTCCTAAAAGTTTTACTTTTTTTTAAATGTTGGTGTCTGCACTAAAACAAATCCAGTATTCATTGGATTTTGCAGCTGTTTCTTTACCATGTGTTGTAGTGAGTACTGTGTGCGACACATCAGCAGTGCCTGCACCACTTGTCTCTGTTCATTACCTGTGATGTGAATAAAGTTTGGGTGTTTGTGTCTCTGTGTGTCACCAGGCTTCCTCTGCTGCAGCGACGGCGGAGACTCGTCCTGCCCGTCCACAGTCTGGTGTGCCTCGCTGCCTTCAGCCTGGCTCTGCCTCTCGCCATCAGTCTCTTCCCACAGATGTCACAGGTGCGTCATCATGTCTTTACTAACATATGTCTTCACATTCTTTTATCACCGTCTGGAATTCTTATTTTGTGTTTTTTTTTTTTTTTTTGTTTTGGTTTTTTTTGTCAATCAAACCAACTTTCTGTTGTTGAAGTTTCCGTTTCTATAGGTGACACTTTGTTTTTCAGTCCTGTCAAACTGTCTGTCACTCTTCTCGTTAAAGGAATACTTGAACCACAAAATGACCACGTGTATATCAGTTACTGACCTCATGTTACGCTGAGAACATTCATGATGAACTGAAATACAAGATGTCAACCTTTAACAGCAAAACTACATTAAAACATCCATTAACACACCTCCACACACTCTCAGTACTTCCCAAACATGTGTGTTTTTGTTACTACCGTAATATTTAGAATAGTTTGCAAACAAGTAGCCACCTGGGCGAGTGTGTGCGTTTGAACTAAAGTCTGTTAAATCATAATGTTTTGTGAAAATGCATGTTTTCTTATAAAATAGCCATTTATCACAGCAAGAAACTGTGAAAACAGAAATGATCATCATTTTCAAATGTCTGACGGACCTCGGACACATCGTGTGTGACGAATGCTTTCATCCAACATACATTTAACCAAATCTGAGCTTAATGAGATAATATTTCATCAAGTCACTTTATTCTACGTCTCATTTAAAATGTGTCCAAAAATAAACTGTTTGAACGACAAGAGTGAAAAACTGAGACTTTTTTCAACTCCTCTTTAACTTTTAACTTTTCAACATCAAAGGGTAAAATCTAAGAACTCATTTATGGTGGAGGGAGGGTCAAAATAAAAAATAAAAAATAAAAAATGTAGTCCCAGCAGGTCAGTATAAACTCGGACTGCCCCCTCAAAGTTGGAGGTTGGACTCATCAGTCAGAGACCCCTCAGATTGCTTCTAGTCAAGCAGTCTTTTTTTTTGTCTGTTTGTTTTGGTCCCCAGATTTTGCTGCAGAGTGAGCGCTCTTGAGAAGCACCGTATCAAAGCCTGTTTACGTGAAATCCTGAGGTCAGAGCTGATCTACTTCCTGTTTGTCTGTAGGACAGATGTGACGCTCTGACAGCTCTGCACTAACATGATCAACTTCTCCTCCATATTATCACACACTGATATTTACTGAAGAAAAGAAAGATAAGAAAAATTGAACTCAGTTTATCTCAGAAGTGATGAATTTACAGCTCACACTCACACGACACAGTCTCTGGTTTTTGTTTCATATCTAGTGTCGGCAGAAAATGTTGTTGCACATTTCTGATCCGTCGTTAGCGCAGTTAGCTTGTAGCTTTATTACATGAATGCTGCTGTCACACTGAACGTCCCCTGGTCAAACTTTATGACTTTACATGGGAAAAACATGACATAACTCTGAGTCCTGATCAGTCCTAATATAACCAGAACCAACTGTTAGAGACTGGAACAGGTTGGTTGGTGTTTAACCATCATACACAGACACACTAAACAGCTCTGATTGTGTTATATGGACATGTTATGATGGGTCGTTGAGAAGTCATGGAAAAGTTTTAAAATGTTGTCGATGAAAACGTGTGTGAAGCCTGTAAACAGCAGAATGATACGTGACAGTGATACTCAGAGCCTCTTGTGTTGCTTGTTCCCGTCCTGGCTGTGTACAATATCTGCTGCCCTGCTGTCAGCCGTGTCAGTGACTGATGTTGATGACTGGAGTCTCGTGACCTCTTTAACGTTCCACACTGAGCTTCACAGAGGCTCCGTCCTAATGAGGCGTAGCTCTCTGAGAGTTAACCTGCCCACAGTGTGCACTGCCTCCATTCATTGATGCCATCCAGGCTGAGATCTAACTTTAGCCTCGCTGCCTCAGTATGTGTCATCCAACTCATTAAATGGCTGCGGCGTGGTTTTGTTCCTCCTTCTCTCCCTCTCTTTGTCTCCTCTCTGCCAAGTGACTTGCTGACACAAGCCAACCAGCTCTGGCTTTAAAATGTTTAGGATTTAATTACCACTGGAAATAACTCAGACAGCCATATGGCAAAAAACTTCAGACATATGTGCCGCCAACAGTCCTGTGAAAAGCTGCCTCCCGCTCCACCGAGGGGCCTGTTTTTCTCTCACAAGTCCTTTTTGCACTTTTGCAAAGATAGCAGGTGAAAAAAAAACTCCCCAAAAAGCAACATGAATGCCCTGCACCCCCCCCCCCCCCCCCCCCCCCCCCCCACCCCCCCCCCCACCCCCCCCCCCCCCCCCCCCCCCCCCCCCCCCCCCCCCAGGACCCCCTGCCTACTCAATTTGTCCCACTTCCCCATTTCACACCTACCAAGATGTCTGATTAGGATTCTGCCTCCAGCTCCATCAGCCATCTGTCTCTGGTTCAAATATTAGGAGATGCAAACCTCAAATTAGACTTTAATCTGCCAAATTGGCTCTTTTTGCACATTAGCAGTAAATACAGAACACTTAAAGCCTTTAAGAGTGATTTAGTCACAAATGAAAGTGTCTGAAATCTTTAAGCAGCGGCGCGTGTAGATGGTTACGGATTCATCTGCAGCGTACAGTATGTAAACATGTTTTATCTGACAGCTTGTGACGAGTCTTTCTCTCTGCACTCTTGACCTTTTTGTTCTGCTTTGATTCTCACAGATCAGCGTGAATCAACTTGAGCCTGAGATCACCATGGCAACAGATTGTAAGATTGTGACATACAATAAAGGCCTGTGAGTGAACTCCGCTGCCCGACAGACGCCGCTCGTCGTGGGTTAAACCTGCCGACGCTGCCAGAGAGTGACTGATGGTAAATTTGGCTGTGAGAAGTTCACAAACGTTTACAGAGACAAGGCTGTTTATATTGTTGTTTACACCAACACGGTGACTGTGAGATAAGCACTAACACGTGAAGACATATTGTGATATAGGAAAACATACATGATGACACCTCAGGAAGCATCATCACTGTTGTAACATGAACACTAACCAAAGACATGGTCTGAAATATCTGAGCCAGCTGCTCCGTCTGTGCCGCAGAGACGCATCGCTGAGTGAGCTTCACTGGTGTCTGTCTTTTTAACATTGAACATTAACTTCAATATTAACAAACATGCTCAGGAATAGGAGAGTGACGACAGGAGCATGCTTGTAGTCATGTCTGAATTATAAACACTGTGAATGAAATCAGGATTAACTAATAAAAATAAAAATGTATTTTTATGAACTTTTTTTTCCTTGTTTATAATTTAAAGCTCCACTCTGAAGGATTTAGAGAGATAAACTGGCAGGGATGGAATATAATATAATCAGTCTGTTTTCTTTACTGAAAATAAGAATCATTGTTTTTTCATTACCTCAGAACGAGTCGTTTGTATCTACACAGGGAGCAGGTCCTCGTCTACAGAGATCACCATGTTGCACCACCATGTTTCTACAGTAGCCCAGAACAGACAAACCAAACACTGACTCTAGATTTTTTAAATGTCAAACTGCTTCATTCAGTGTTCTTACTGGTTTTAATCAGCTGGTCTGTTTCATTCTGAGAGGAAGAGACCTCTGAGGAAAATTCAGCTCCTGGTTATAACCTCCTGAACAATAGACACTAAGGAAATTCTAACTGGGAGAAGTTTTAGCTGGTTGCAATCTACAATCCTCATTTGGTAAATCTCCCTAAATCTTACACACTGGAGCGTTAAAGCACCCGACCCAACAACCCACTGTCACAGCTTTAATGTCTACAAGAGGCCTGAAAGGTAAAACTACAAAATAACACAAGAAAGAATCCGAGATGATAAAAGAGTCAGAAAAACAAACAGAATTTATTTTCTTCTTATTTCCTACCTGAGAAACCATCTTGTCACCAGGAGTGTCGTGTTAATTGTTGAAGTACCGCAGTGCACCTATGACGAGCTCATGCACATGCACAGTTAGGTTTTGGCTCGTTGCGGGGCTCCTGACCTCGAGGTCAGGACCCACCGATGTCATGAATGTAGAAATTCAAGTGGAAATGTAGCGAAGCTGCAGGATTTTGTTAAAGTGACGCTAAATCTGTAAAAAAATAAATAAATAAAAGCTGTGAACTGTGTTCAGAACAGATCAGTGTGAAATCATGACACTGTGATTACGTTTTATTTTTTTCTCAAAACCACAAAAGCAGGTATTTAAAAGTTAATAATGCAGTAACTTTTAATTGCAGTATTTTTAGTAAAATTACAGCTTTTGTCATGTTAAAGGATTTATCTTTTAGATTTGCCTCTATTTAATTATTATTAGGGATGCACCAAATATTCGGTAACCGAATATATTCGGTAACCGAATATTGCAAAACAACACACATTCGGTATTCGGTGGAATAAGTTAAAAGCAAGGCCGAATAATAGCGGCGTGTTTTGATAACGCAATCAAACAGCGTGCCGTGACAGGCGGAGTAAAATGTCGGCAGTGTGGCGATCCGTCCGTCACCGCACTCGCATTTGCGACTAAAAATAGTTTTGAGCGAGCAAAATAGGCTTAAATCATTCAGCACACTGTGCAAGCAGCCTACAGATTTCAACCAGCAGCAGAAACGAAAGGCGAATCCCACCGATTGTGGGTTGAACGGGGGTCACAGACACAGACAGTAATGTATTCCTGTCAAATACGGCGGCCATCGGCTTACCGGGCGACAGCCGAGCCAGCCGAACACAGGTATGTGACGTGTCAGAGGAGAAACGAGCCGTTCACGGCCCACAAACCTCACCGCACTTTAGGGACTGTTCTTTACTTGTCAGGGGAGGAGGGTGGCTGGTTGATTTTTATTTTATTTATTTATTTTATTTTGATCCCCCCTATGTTAATCACTTATTGATGCTGTTTTTGAAGTATGAATAAGTCAATAAGTAATTTATTCCATTGAAATATCATTGATGTATTATAGAAAAGTGATTTATCTTTTTATAAATGACAAAAGGCACATCTGCCTCATTTTTGCTGTGGTATCCTGATACTACTCAGAACCATGATATTTTCATTGGTATCGTACAGTGGGATCCAATTTTGGTACCGTGACAACACTAATCTGGAGGGTTCATCTGCAAAAACTAATGAAAAACTAAACAATGATATTCGGTATTCGGCCAAGTGTTTAATAATATTTGGCTTCGGCCACAAATTTTCATATCGGTGCAACCCTAATTATTAAGAAACAACATTTTGTGTAATCAAAGACTGGACACATATATAAAAAATATCTTATCTTAAAGTCTAAAACTAAAATAAGCAGATTTTTATTCTCTTTTATTCTGTAAATGTTTCTGACAGGTCCATGGTTAAAGTGCTGCTCCCTTTTTGTTTTTACAAACAGACAAACGCCGGCGGAGGTAATAATCCAGACTGAGTTCTGCTTCAGTACCAGAAATAAACAGAGTGCAGCGGACGCACATCTGAAAAACTGATGCAGGCGCTGCGTTGAAAAATCAAACTTTGTAAAGAATCAGACAAAAGATCCAAATGCTTCATTAAAAGCCTTCAGCAGTTTTATTTATGCAGCGTTTCAGATTTAATACCAGATTTATTTTTTTATTTTTTATTTTGCATTTTTATGCCTCTGTGCCGGCTGTAGCTGTGGCTGGAGTCATTATGTTTTCAGGTTGTCGTCCACCCGTCTGTCTCGTTCTCATGAGTGCAGTATCTCAAGAACGACAAATTTCCTCACATCTGGAACAAACCTGCTCTTGGACTGAACTGAATGTATTTGGGGTCAAAGGTCACTGTCACTTCGTCTGTCTCATTCTTGTGAACACGATAGTTCAAGAACTTTTTGAGGGGATTTTACTTGAAATTTGTAACAAACCTTCACTTGGACTCGACGATGAAGTGATCTGCATTTGGTGGTCAAGATCACTGTGACCTAGTGGCCGCCTCGTTATCGTGAACATGACATCTCAAGAACACTATCAGGAAAGTTCTTCACATTAGGAACAAACGTCCTCTTGGATTCATCGATGAAGTGATTTGTATTTATTGGTCAGAGGTCAAATGTCAAGGTCACTGTGACCTTGTCTGTTTCAAGTCTGTGAACAGGAGGGTTTTTTTCCAAATTTGAAACAAACATTCACTTGGGCGCAACAATGAAGTGATTAGATTTTGGTGGCTGAAGGTCAAGGTCACTGTGACCTTGCGGCTGTCTCATTCTTGTGAACACGATATGTGAAGAACAACTTGAGGGAATTATCTCAAATTTGGCACAAACTTCCACTTGAACTAAATGGTGAACTGATCAGAATTTGGTATTCAAAGGTCAGTGTGACCTCACAAAACATGTTTTCGGCCATAACTGAAGAATTCATTCACTAATTGTGACCAAACTTGACACAAATGTCTAACAGGATAAAATAATGAAGGTCAAAAGGTCAAAGGTCAGCTTGACTGTGACATCATCATGTTTTAACGTCATATCACAGGAACAGAAGGGGAGACATTTGGTCAGATACTGAATTGGTGACTCTAATCTTGAAACTGTGCTGATTGTATAGATCTTCTGTGTGTGAAGCATCCATGTTTTCACTGACATGGATGGAGACTGTCAGAGACACTGGACTCGTCATAACTTTTAAATCAAATGTCTCAGACAAAAACTCTAAAAATTTAACCAAACTTTATATTTTGGAGAAAAAAATGTTATCAGCTTTTTAACACAATTTAAATTGTCAGAAAGATTGTAAATTGTACAAGTGTTAGAAAATATCTAGAATGAGGTAATTAAAGCTTCGTTAATCACATTCCACAGTGAGCAGATTGTTTTGTCTTTCTGAAAAATGATTTCTGACAGTCTTTGGTTTTCAGTAATGAGCCTGTGATTTGTAATTCAATGTGCTGCTCGACTGAAACTGAAGCAGTGTGACAACTGTGACGACGCTGCATGATTTATCGCTCAACATGCAATTTTATAACCAACAATAAAACACGTGTAACTTGTGGTGTTAGCTGAGAAGATGGAAGCTTCTTTTATCCCACAGAAAACAGGTAATCAGACGATAATGATTAAACCAGCCGTTGTCTTTCAGTTCGGCTCTCCGACACCTCGACAGCAGTGGCGGCAGCAGCAGCGGGGATGTGGCGCCTCCTTCCCCCACCTCACAGCGCTTGTCTCAGAGGATTCCTGCTCTTGTCCTCAGCTCTCCTCTCTGCTGACTCGGCCGTCAGGAGACGCAGCGTTTAGGGAGACGGGCAAGATTTTCCCTTTTAATTGTTTTCCTAACAGACAAATGAGAGGTGCAGCTCCCGTTAACGTGCTGACCTTTTACCTAAGTGAGATGTGATTGGCCTTAAGCACACCTGCTTGTCAGGAGGACGGTTTCAGAGCTTTGAGTGTCAGAGTGAACTGCTGCTCTTCTTAAATACACCCTTGGTGCTGTTTATTTGGACAATAAGGAATCTCCTTTACCACGTATTTGCACCTGCGGGGGAGTATAGGATATCCTGTGAATTCAAAACAAGGCCCCTTCTGCAACTGCAGATGTCAGTAAAAAGGTGAGAGTACTGCGGTGTGTGTCACCTCCCCACCTCCCCCCAGTCTGGGCTCTTTCTCTGTTTCTGAGCTTACAAAACAAAACATGGAGGTCAGATGTCAGGGCTCAGCTCTGAAGCCTCGGGGTCATTAGGAGGAGATTCCTTCCGCTTTCTTTTGACAGGTGATTACTGAGGCGGTGTGGTGAAAGGGCCGCAGCACAATAGTTACCACTTTCCCCCTTTTTTAGAGGTTGCACCCTCTGGATGGGAATTATTTCTGTGTCCCCCCCTTCTGCTGGAATTCAGAGGAAGTACTGGCCGATAGCTAACACACCTGACACCTGTGCAACTGTCCTGCAGCATTCCTCCGCCTCCGTCAGTGGCCCTTTTTACTCAGAGATGTCGCTACAGAGCCGCTATGAGGTCCCTTCTTTATGCCTCCTCTGCATTTCTACACAGAAGGGGCATCATGTCGCTGCAGGGGGTGGTTTTAGACAGCATGCCGACATGTATGCTGGCATGTAACACAACCACATCAGTCTCTCGTGTGACGTGTGACATATGACATATGCGTGTGCAGTGCTTTATAAACAGTAACTCTGACATCACATGTCAATAACAATCATTTGCCATCTCTGTTATATGGCGGCTGATCTCGTCCTCTGCTCGGAGGGTAAGGAGCTCATGGACCTCAGTGTTTTCCCAATACGCCGACATTTACAGCTGCTGTTCTTC